ATGCATTTCACAGACAGACAGTTTCAAGTCGAGTTAAAGCTATGAGTATGATTGTTTTGTGCTGCCTTAAGCATCTCTGACTAAAGCCTGGGTTTCCCTAGGTTTTATTCCACTGTTTCTGGACCTAAATGGCTGTTATGGCAAACAGGGACAGCTGGAAAATAGCAGGACACAAGCTATGCCCAGTTTTTAGGCATTGTCAGTCTCATGGTTAAGAGAGTGGATAGCTACATCAAGGCTTGTGTTAACTTCTGCAATCTTCCCAGTTTGGAAGGATTCTCACTGAGCTCATTTCAGGCTCTTTTATTCAAACAATAGGAGGAAAAGCATGAAAATGGATTTGTTTCAACCTATTTTTACAACATTTAGTTTTCTCCTCACCGCTTCTCATTTTACTTTAGAGATCTCAGTTTTGACTCATGAATGAATAACTACGAATCCAGGGTAGAGGAATGAAAGACATGCAGTGAAACACAACAGATTCTTAGAGTCTGTAGGGTTGATTCTAAAGAAAGGAGTTTTAATTATTCGTGTATAGGTTATTTAAAATCACTGATGATTGTATTTAAACAGGAGGAAACCAAAATGAAAAACGACAGATAAACTTCTAAGTGTACCACCTTCATGTAATGCAGTACAGCCTAAGGTGCACCTGATGAACACAGTTCTTTACAAACAAAGCACATTTAACTGGAAGGAAAAAGACTGGTTTTAGAGCTTTAACAATCTTATCACAGGAACACTGTTTATTAATTTTTATGATCAAGTACCTCTGCAAGTATTAGGAGGAGACCTGCTTTTCATGTACCCATATTATTTTCTGGTATTTGCCCTGATAGAGCATAGCAGTGTTTAAAGGATTATTTATACAGCTGAGGAAACTTTAAATCATGTGACTGGATGTGGCATCATCTTTACAAATTAGAGAAATGGGTTCATGCAGCAAAATTCCCATCAGGGATAGATTCCAGTTTCCAATGCTTCTAAAATATAATGCATACTCCATGTTCTGTACTTGCAAACATGGAACAACTACCTTCCTTAGAAAGACAGCCACCAACTACAAAATATAAAATAAGGTTAAAGCAAAGATTTTGAAAATCTATTAGGAAAAAATTCCAGCCTTTCTAGTAGTTTATTATAGTATTATTTAAGATAAACTGGACAATGTGTCGAGATTGGTAAGAGCAACACTGCCCTAAAGAGATTGCAGAGCTGATAATGAAGTAAACTCACAAAGCAAAGCATGAAAAAATTCTTGTTAAGGAAGTACTAAGTCCTGCCACTATCAACTAAGATAAGTAGTATTTTGAAAGCAGATCTGCAGAACCAGTCAGTGCGTTTACTGACTTCATTATTACTGGAGCAGCAGAACTTGTACCCGAAGGTATGGAATTATTATGTATTGAAGTAATAAAAATTGAGAGATTGCAGTTGGCTTTTACTGAAGATAATAGGCTTACAGACTTTTGCTTAGTTCTCTTTGACACAGAAGGGAATATTTGGCATGACCAAACATTAAAAGAATACTTATAAAAAGAATTTCTTTATCAAACAGTGTGTACACTCATAAGAGATAATTCACCATGTTTCAAAGAATGATGATGCAGAATACAGGGCTACAGAGAATATAATTTACAATATAATTAAAGCTTCAATGTCTTGAGCAACTCAACATTCTGCCAAAATCAGTATTTTTGAAATACTGAGAAGTAATCAGGGACTGTGATGACACCAGAGGAAAATGCAGGAAAAAGATCACACGTGTGATGAAAGCTGTAACTTATGGTAGATTGATATCCCTTTGCTGGAGGAGGAATGACTCTCAACAGAAAAATTATACCCTAAAAACTATGCCTGAATAGTAAGAGAAGCAGAAAACTGTAGCCTAGAAGTAGTTTCTTGGAATACACAGGAACAATTGCAGAGCAGAAAGGGAAACCCACCAAAGTTCAACACTGTTTTTTTAATGTTCCTATATTGTTCATCCCTGACATACCCATCTGTAGGAAAAATTGCTAGGCCTCAAGGGCAAATATTGTGCAGTTTACACATGACTCTTGTGAGAACCTAGAACCCAGTCCTCCAGTCAGAAACAAGAACTCTCTCCGTCACACAATATCTGTAAATTACCTTCAATGAATACCATCATATAGAGATCTCCAAGGGTAATAGCCTTCTTACACTCTTCCTACATTACACTGGAGTCTGGCCAGTTTTTAATTTAACTTACACAAACCTTCATCAGAGATAGCCAAGGTTAATGAAGTTACACTGGCTTTATACAGCAATACAAGTAACATCAAAATCAAGTTCTAGATGAGCAGTGAAATCTCAGGTGGATATAAAGGAGCACAAGTTGACTCACTCGAGCTTTAATAACTTTCTTTCTTTTGTAATTATTTTTATCTTTACTGAATATTCATTATTTACTTTTAGGTTACTATGCAGTTGACTGTACTTTCTATCAGACTACTACTCTTGATTTTTATTCAGACAATCCAGTATGGTTTTGTCTCATTCTCTTTGTGTGGCCATTTCTCCGTCATTTCTTATGGTTGTATTTTTGACCAGAGGGATTTTGAAATGATATGGTACTTTGATTGTTTTTGTGAGGCACGATTGAACTTTATTTTTTTCCATTATATTATGCTGAACTCTCGCAGCTCCTTGCATCAGCTAACACTTTGTTTAAAAAAAAAGGTTACCTAGAGTTTAAATAGCCTTCAAATATGCAGCACATTTCTACACAAAGACTGCAAATCAAGGGCCATTTAGTCAAGATGGTTCCCAAACTTAATAGATTAAACTAGCGTAATCAAAAGTAAGAGGTGCTATCCAATTTTTCTGCAACTCCACAGGTTTTAGAATTACTGATGTTATTATATGATGCTCTTAATGTTGGAAGAACTGTGGGAGTACAGGAGAGGTTTGACTACGAGCAGTGGAAAAAGGACATAGAACTATGTGAAGAAATCTATGGAACTCCTGTGGAAAACACCTTCTTTACATTCGTCTAAGGAACGTTAGTACACTTCATATTCATGTTCATGTTTAATGTTTGTTGTATTTCATCCTTCATTGTACCCTTACTCCTCAGTGTTTTATAAAATCCCTCAGTGTTCTGTACCCCAGTTTAGTCCCTTTCCCCTGATTGGTTAGGATTTGCTGCACTGCAGTACCTAATTAATTAGTAACCCTTATGGTTATCTCCTCCCATTTTCCCTCTTCATTGGTTCATATTAGCATACTCCACCCCAACTCCTCCCTAGTTCCGCCTACTTTTCCAGTACCTTCGGTTCCCTACCCTATTTAAGCAGAGTTCTCCCTCCAATAAAGTGCCATTTTACCCTCCATCTCCGAAGTGGCTGGACTCATTCCCTTGGGCTGCAACAGAAAACTGTGGCAATATGAAGTGCTGAAATAGTTGGAGAACACAGTTTTCTTTTGGATTAACAAAAAACTCAGCTACCTTATTAAATTGAGACATTTAAGAGGGAAAGTGTGGGAAAAAGAAACCAAAACGCTTTATCTGTTCTTTTCTTTCTCTCCCCATTGATCAGCACTGACTGAAAGTTAAGTGCTTTTGAGAAACAATGGATGGACAGACATCTGGTCAACTTTGAAGCTCTGATGGTATGGTTGCAGATGAATTTACAGGTTTGATTACACTGTTAGGTTTTATAAAAGGTTTAAGTTGTATTCCTCAGTACAATGGCATATCACCAAAGAAAAACATCAAGCACAAAACCAAGGTGCAGTATATCACACCTAAACATAAATGTTGATGTGGATAGAAATCATCAGAACTCCCGGAGCAGGTGTCAATCTTGCTTTGTTGCTGGGAGGATAAAAATTATGCTTTGGGATAATACTGCTCCTTCCAAAGAGAAAGCAAGCAAACAAATGTTCTTGGTTCTTCCCTCAAGGAACAGAATAAATGATTAAGAACTGGTGTCAGACAGCATTAACCAGCTCAATAAATATCCAAGAAGGTCATACAGCCAGAATGATTTGAAAAGGAATATTTAAATCTAGTTTTCAGGTAAACACTGATTTCACCTTCCTGTTTTGATATGAGATAATCTTAAAACACCATTATCTGCAAATTTAGCCAAGTTGCTTTCTACTTAAAAAATGTAAGGGGAAGATCACCACTGCCTTTCTTCTGCAAGGACTTACTTATACTTCAAACAGCAAAAAAAAATTAAAAAATCACAGATACTTCCTGTCCCATCTGTCACTGATTCTCTATCATCTGTTTATTATGCATAAATTATTTCAACCTAAAAGACATATCACAGTTTTAACTACCGTAACAGATACGATCCTGACTGAGGAACTGCATGAACTAGAGGAAATTGCAGGAATTATACGATCTTGCAGAAGTCCTGAGAAATGTTATGTTTCTGAAGGACATCTCAGAGATTTTTTCATAAATAGAGAGAAATCTCTCCATTTGCTTGGAGAAGCAGGACACCACCAGTCTGAATCACATGAGTTAACATACTCTGTGTGATTTTATTCTAGTCCCTATCCATCCCCCCTTTCCTTCTTACTTTCTCCAAGAAAAGGTTCACACAATAGTGTGCTTCAGTGGAAGTCCAAGGAAGTTCATGGAAGAATTTACAGTGGACACTTTCAAAGATGAACTTGCAACACAAGCCATAACCAAGACTATCTTATTTCATGAATGCAAAGACCAGATAAAGAAAGTTCTTTTTACCTCATCAAATGAACAACATCTAGTGTAAACTAACACATTAAGCAGATGCAAGTATGAAGCAGATTCTGAGAGACATGTCTGCTTGATGCAGTTGTGAACACATTGGCTGATTTAAAACTCACTATCATAAAAAATCAGCCACTCCCTCAGAAATACTTATGATCCTTACATATTGCTTTGAGTCCTTTTTATTACCTCTATTATCTTGTTGTGAGAAAAGCTATATTGCATATGTTTTCAATTCTCTGGAGTTTACATAACAACCATACTACACCTTAAATGTATCTTCACTGCTGGGATTAAACAGCTGGTGTTTCCCAGATCCCAAAATAATAGGACCAGAAGCTTTGTTTTCTCCATAAGCGTAAAGGGATACTGTTGCTGTTGTGCCAGCTGTTTCAAAATCCCCTGTGACTACAGTAATCTTCCAGTCTCCTTCTGTAAAGTAAAAAATAAAGTCAAAATGCTTGTATAACTGGTACTTAAATGTTGCAATTTACTTGAAAGATATAAACAAAAGCACAGTTTGGCTCAAGGACCATGACTACAATGTGCCTAAAAGGTGATGAGGAAGAGGCAACAGAAGATAGGCTAAATACTACATCATTCAAACTCATCTCAAGTAAGCTGTGGATCAAGGATCTAGGATTGCAGTGTTCTAAAGCTGGAAATATGAACACAGAGCTCAGTGAAATTTCTAGTGATAACCCTGTTGCTTAACACGGAAGAAGACCAACATCCAGAATTTGGATTATGACGATACGTATGACCAAGAAATGCATCAGGACAAATATCAAAACATCCCAATTAAAGTAAAATTTCCTCTCATTTTATGTTGATGTGGCACATCAACAGAGCTCTGATTGCATGGCTGGAAGCATGACATTGAAATCAGCATGGAAAAAAAAGAGATTTTGTAGAAAATTCTGAACGAGACGAGGACTCATTAGAAAATCATTTTATATAAAGCTCCCTGACACTAAAATGTCATCTTTGCTCGCATGCAATGTACACAAATTATTTAAATATTCAAAAGCAGCTTAATATAAATCTTATTTTAGAAAAGAACAATTCATAATTGTAAAATGCATTTCTGCATCTGAAAAGCTGGGATTGCACGCTTCTCTGCCCCTCATTGATTGCAGCTTTGTCTGTGTGAAACAAGTTCCACTTAGCAACTTAAATTCATTCTGTGCAAGACAAACAACAAATGAAATACCAGCCCACAGTCATCTTATAAATAAATGCCATAGCATACACTGCAGTTTTATTAATAGAAAGCTGTCTGGTAATGCCTTCCTGATTTAAATCTGTTGTCTGACAGAAACATTTATCTTGGGCCAGCCCCATTATCACTCAGTAATTTGCCCTGCAAATATTGAACTGGACCAGGAAGTTTGATCTCCTGTTTTCCAAGTTTTTTGATGTCTGACCAATGCCTGGTTTTGGAAGGTGGTAGATTTTTAAGCACACACAAATACACATCTGGAAATTCAGAAAGCAGCTGAAGCTTATTTGGTCCGACCAATCAAACCTGGCCAGCTGGTTGAGGGAAGGAATTCTCCCCCTGTACTCTGCTGTGATGAGACCCCATTTGAGTACTGCAGCCAACTCTGGGGACCTTTACATAAGAAGGATGGGACCTGTTGAAACAGATCCAGAGAAGGGCCATGAAAATGATCAGGAGGCTGGAGCACCTCTCCTGTGAAGGTTGTTCAGCTTGGTTCCAGGTAGAGCTTATTGCAGCCTTTATTAAAAGGACTTTTAATAAAAAAAGCAAAGAGTTTTTACAAGGACGTGTAGTGATACGACAAGGGAAAGTGGTTTTAAACTGAAAGAGGGTAGGTTTAGACAAGACATAAAGAAGAAACATTCTTACTACAAGGATGATAAGATACTGGAACAAGTTGCCCAAAGAAGCTGTGGGTTCCCTGTCTCTGGAAGTGTTCAGGGACAGGTTGGATGGGGCTTTGAGCAACCTGGTCTGGTGCAAGATGTCCTTTTCCATGTCAGAGGCGTGTACTAGATATCTTTAAAGATCTCTTCCAACTCAAATTGTTCTACAATTCTATAAAGGAAGTGAACCATGCAATTTCTGCCAAAAGTTGTTAAACTCCAACTTGTAAGAAATTCTTTTCTGCCTTTGAAAATCTGAATCCTCACAGCCTTCTCTGTAGACCCACTTTCTTGAAAAAAGAACCATAGTGCCAGACAACAAAAGGATAAACATCAATTAGAAGAGTGAAAAGCCTCTATACGCTGAAATTGGAAACACAGAGCATAAGGCAAGGGCTTCCTGCCCCATAGAAGAAGAGCTTGTTTATAAAAAAGACAACCTCCTAAAGGCAAAGTTCCTTTGGACCATTTGGTTGGAAAATAAGGACAATTCCATTTACAAAGGCTTATGAAGGGTGGTGCAGACAAAGGGTAAAATATGACCCACTACTCTGCCTAAAAATTCAAAAATCAGTCAAAAACAGATACTCATTTCAAAGCAGGCAAAATTTATTTTCTTTTGGACATGTTCATTGATTAATTGTGCCTTGAGTGTTTTTGATGGCCATTTCTCTTGTATTATCCCCTCAAAGTCTATCTTTTATTAAGCAATGGAGCTTCAAAATGATGCAGTTGCTACTCTTGATACTGTATATTCTACCTAGCTCATCTTCTACCTCCTATGGATAAGTTTAGTATCACTAAACTGTTGTGCACACAATTACCACTCTGAAGGTAGAAAAGGGAATCAAATTTCACCAAAAACATGATTAAAAAGAGTTTTGACTTGAACTCCTCTATATTGATTTTGAGTCTTTTTCTTTTTTCTGGAAAGGACTTGTGTTTGAAAGACAATGTGGGTATAGGAAAAGAATCCTAAAATTTCTAATCTGATGCCCAAAATTCCCATTGCATTGCATGCTTCCAAATGGAAGCTGGAAACAGTATTACAAAAATGTAATTCTTGTTGGCATAAAAAGCTGGGGTTGTTCTGATGAGGTAGAATACCAAGAGTTCCTTAATGGCTGAAGAGGAATACACATTAAGGGGAAAAGAATACAGAAAAATATGTAATGACATGACATTCCTTTAGCATACATGGAGAAAAGCTGCAATCTAACACCAGGTACCTCCCTGGGGACATCAGAAAGTGGTACCTTGCCACAGATGACTTTCTAGATTTATTTTTTTTCTTTTATAGAACAATACAACACACTAGAAAGTTCTAATTCTCAGAAAAATAATTCTGTTTTAAAAAAATTATATAGAATGAAGATGAGATATAATTAAAAGCTTATGGGAAAAAAAGTAGGTGAACAAAATCTCAGATGAACCACTAAAGCAGGAATTGATGCACTCCCTCTAGGTGTAGGATACGCAATTTCAAGTCTCCCGCTGTTCCACATTTTACCGACTGTCCCAAACAAGACGTTATTTGTTGCATATGCTTTTGGCTGCCTAACTCTGATTGAGACATTTGCACAGCTTAAACAACATAGCATAGAGACCCAGCTATAGGTGCAGAAATGACTAACCAGACCAATTTAAAAGGAGGATCTCCAGGTGCAGGCCATGAGAAAACAAGGTGTGCAGAACAGCTGAAGCACAAAGAGTGATGAACAGACCGCAAATGAATGCCTTCGGAAAAAAGCATAGGCAGGAAGAAAAGATACTTTTGGTTCAAAATAAAGCTTATAATAGTGGGATTCTAGTGTAATTTATAAAATAACTGGGCACACATTTTACTGTTAAACGCCTGCCATAGGAACTCTGTTTAGGACAAGGTATTTATGTCTTTGTGGATATCTTGATTGATACAATAAATTTTGAATAAACATTTTCAAACTTTCTCCCAACACCTTCTAAATCATTGTTCAACCTACAGCATGAAGCACTTCTCACAGCTGAGGAATTCTAATGTGTTATTAAGAAATTTAATTTACTCTGCTCTGGTTGCAGGGACAGAAGAGGCAACCTGAACAAATCTGAAATCACAAGTAGAACAGAAAACAAAAAGTTAATGTTGAGAACAAAACTATATATAGCCCAGGAGAGCTAATCATGTATTAACATATTAACTATAAAAAAATGAAATTAAGATAGATCACCAGTAAGTATTAGAAGAATAAAAATTTTTCAAACAAGCAGAGAAAATTAATACTATGGAAAGAAAAATGACAGAATAAAAAGAAAGCATAAACAAAGTTATTTATTGTTTAAATTAAAATGTGAACCTCAGAGTTTACTAAAATGTATGAATAGTGTGCTGTAATTAATGTTTTAAAATAAATACAAATGGCAACAAATATGTAAAGCAATTAGTTCTGAAACAGAAAATCTTCATTAAAAGAAGAAAACTAGAGCAGCACTTACCATTTGCCTCTTGAATTTTCAGATGCTGATTTTTTTTAAACTCTGCAAAAAAAATAATCTGTTAATAGAGGATCTATCCTTTAACACTAAAGAAAAGGTTTGAAAGAAGAGATGAAAAAGACATTCTGTGTTTTACCCGATACAAGAAAACCCTTTCTCATTCATTCCCTCCTTACTTTCTCACTATCACTTCTAGCAACTATACTATTTAACACAAATTGTGTTCTCTCAGAAATATAGTAAAGGAAGCAGCAAAATGGTTAACTTTGATATTTACAGTGTAAATTCAGCCCAAATTTCTTCAGAGGCAAAAAAATTACAAATTACTGTCCTTATTTCCATAAAGTTACAATAAATCTTACCTTGAGGGTACAGCTCAATTTCTGATTGGATTATACCTTGGGACATAAATGGAATCCACCTAAGAATAAGAAAGAAAATAAGAAAGTAGGTAGGAATCAAATTTTTCTCCACTATATTACCATATAACTGAATGATCCACGTCTGATTTTCCTACTGAATACATATAACAGCAAAGGGTCTCTACTGCTAAAATTTTAGTATTAGATTTGATAGATGTTAAAATAGAAATTATTTGACTCAACAAAGAATTTCATTTGTGCAAACATAAGAGCTTTGTAACTTTAAAATTCACCTCTATCAGATTAGGAGACTCATGTGGCACTACTGTACTTGATCCTATAGCTAAATAGAAGAATATGGCACAGAACATATCTTCAGTACTATGGATTTAGTAGTAAGTATAATTTGTATGTATCTATCACACTATTTCTTAAAATCACTGTTCAGTGTTAAAAACAAAGATGGAACCACATATTGCTCTTCCTTATTCCTCCTACAAATTGGGGACATGTAGATGAGTCTGAAAAAAGACAAATCAAGGCAAACATTTGTTAGGTTTCTTAGTCATGTTACTCAAGGCTATGGATAATTTTGAAACCTTGTTATTCAGAATATGGATCATCAACAGTTTTAGCTTCCTCTTGTTTGGTATAAGATCAGCTGGTTTTTACAGAAAAAAAATGCAGCAAGCTTCTGGGCTGCTGTTTTTTATTTCCTCGGTACACTTCCATGGACTCTCCAGGAATGACCTAAAGCATTCAGTCTCCTATGAAGCCTGTTGGGATTCCAGTATAAGCTGGACAAGTTAAGTCCAGAACAACTTTTGAAGGTTCCTTATTTTTAGTCTTGAAAATATTAGCTGGCCAATCCATAGAAGCACCAGTCCCTAAGAAATAAATTTTGTTTTACTAGACAACTACTTATTTCTATCACTTCTGCTATAACCTGATCACACAGGCATTTTCTGCAATCCTAAATGCTAAAAGGTGTCAGTAACTAGTAAATACTATATAACTGAAGTCAAGTAAGAGCTGTTGGATGTTCAGAAACTAATATCAGATTTTCAAGACAGATAAATGCTTATGTTTCCTTGGATAAATGAGAACAAAGACAGCACTTCGTTCGTATCCTGGATCATAAAACACCTATGTAAAATAAAACTGTGAGGCTGAACATTAATAAACTAAAGAGCTTTCTGAAGAGCCAAAGCTTTCCTCCCTCTTGAATAGAGCACAGTCTTTCAGCTTCACATTTTGCCAACATGGAAGCTACGCCTCACCCCACCACTGACCTATTTTAACCCTTTTTCAGTGGCAGTGTTTCCTTGTAGAAAAGTTAGAAAAAAAGCCACAACTTTTGTTTCTTTTTGGCAGTGTCTATCACAGAATAATTTTTGCTGATCAACATCTGGTGTTAATTACCACAGAATTATACAGCAAAATGTCTGCCATTCATGGTTCTAAGCCATGTTACCCACTGGAGGACAGCTATGACACAGAGTTCATTTTTTGTGTTTGAGGTAGGAAGCTGGCCTAACTTCTCTGTAGAACTTCCATTAGGAAATTTTACCTATATTTTTTTGGAAAGGTAGTAACTACAGCTAGCAACAACAGCTGGTCTGCATCCAAATCTAGTCCAGAGAAATCCTCAGTCTCACACTACTATTTAAAAAATATGTTACTGATCGAAGAAAAATCTCAGTTTTAGAGTTTTACCAAGGTGACACAGCATTTTTATTCCTGTTTTTGAGGATGTGACACCAAGAGCTGCAAGAAGCTGTTCAAGGTTATATAACAAATTCATTAAAATCCAGACAAAATAACTAGGCAACCTGCATTTATTAAATATTATTAATTAAATATTATTTATTCTAGTGCCTTGTCACATAGTCATATTGTTTCTCTACGCTTCCTTCATTTCTCTTGAATGATGCACATAGCCATGAAATAGACTGCAAAGTGGAAACTCTAAATGTGGGATTACCATATTTCTCCAAACATGCAAAATTCAGTATTTCTCAATTGACTTTTAAGATGCTCATTTAATAATCTAAATGGAACAACCACAAAATAATTCTGGGTATCACATTTCTCTCTCTAGCTATGCTGTTGTTCATAAAGAGAGTGAATGCTACTTCTGCACGGCAAATCTGTTTTCTTTCCCATTTAGAAACACACTTAATTTAGAACCTTTTTGTGTGCTTTATCTTTCCTTCCTGAGCGGTAAGTCACACTTACAGCACTGATCCTGATAAGGCTGTACTCTGCAATCTAGTGACATAAACGCTATATAAGCATTTAACCTTTGCTATGGACCATACAGCACATTAACTGAAGCAATCTGTTCTGGAACAACACATGTTATGGGTTTAATGAAACTGCAAAATAATCCAAATTTGTCTTTCCCCAAAAAACTCACATTTAATACAGTGACTGACATAACACTTTTAGTAATATATGCTGAGGAGTATTTAAGATTGTTATTGTAAACACTACCTTTCACAATTGAAAACATATTCTGAGTTGCTGGAGGCTTCTCTGACAACGATTTTATCACAGTACCAGTACTGGGGCTTGGTATTGGCCTCACAGCGCAACAGCACCTTCTGCAGCTTCCCAAGAGATACAGCTTCCACTTCAAAAACATTGACCTGGAGGACAGAGGAGACAGCACTGTGCAATTTGCCACTACTAAGGCAGGCTGAAAACCGACATGCTTTAAAAGCCTGATTAACTCTCACAATGTACAGATTCCCATTGATTTTAATGACAGCTGGACTGTATCCAAACATTTTGGATCTGAAAAGTTAAATGTCGTTTAGTGACATATCAGAGTAAATGAGAAATCACAACTGAAGTCAAGCTGTAGTAATAATCCCAAATAAATTGTTTTTTTCAGCCATCATCCAAAACACTGCACACACCCTTCAATATTGTTTCAATACCTTGCCATTTCCATTACTCTTCTCTAGATAAGAATGAGTTGAAGCTGTTATTTCCCTTGCTGATATTTATTTGAAACACACTTTCTCATCCTTTTCTCTTTTTTTATCTCACCTCCTCTATTTACATTTTATTCTGCTGAAGGAAACTGAAATTTGACATGCCACTCTCCCCTTGTTATCCATTTAGGTTTGTGCTTACAGTTGGAAAAGATTGTTTTCATAGGAGCATGAAGCTGATCAGGTTCAGGTTGATGATTTTCTGCCACAGTAAAAAGTGTACAGATTTCTCTCTCTGAATGTAATGGTCCAGATCACTCTTCTCAGTAAAAAGAAAATGAAGGAAAGAAATACACTGGAAAATTCATATCTATAAAGTTCTCAGTCCTTGGCAAATGGCAGAATTGAGACTGCCTGTGCAACACTAGTTATCCCTTGTGTATAGGTAATATATGATCACAAGCTATTCTCTCTGAAAGATTCCTGCCTCAACGTGTGCACGGGAGGACTGCAGTTTTTCAGTATTTCTGTTTATCCTCATTATCTTTATGACTCTATGCATTATTTACAGCAATTCACCCAAAGAGCTCAGTGAAACAGAACTGATTTCCCCAATGACTTCACCTTTGAACTTCTTCCAAAGCACCCCAGTTTTCTATAAATGTTAAATCTGTGGTGGTTTTTTTTTTGAAAGGCCATCTTCATATTAATTCAATTTACCTATATAGTTAAATCACGGAGTTTATTGCCAAAAGCTGCCAAAGATGCAAAGTGCTTTGGGTGCTCAACTGAGAAACGGAGGGGTGAATTTATTGACATTTCAAAAAGCTTCCTAGGTACAGAGCAGAATTCTATTTGAACAAATCTCAGTTACAGCTATGGCTCTTCAGAAAAAATTAAACAGGTTATTCAGCAAAAGATAAGCGTGAAAAAAGTGGTCGTCCAGCAAAGCTTTAAGTGATCTGTCCAATATAATGTAGAATATCTGTGGCAGGGATGAAATCAAGTTGTTCAAGTCAGCACTCAACTGCCTCTGCCATAAAATGAGGTATCCCAGTCCCTGTTCTGCTGCTCTAAACAATCCACTGTCTCATTCACCCATTTCCATAACAAAGTGCACTTTGAACCATTCCTCTTAGCCGCTGTATAAATAATAAGCTGAATTTACTATCAATCTGGCTAGAATAATGCCCCCCAGAAAATTCCACTTAAATTCTGAATTTTAATTTGAATAGAACTTTATCTCTCATACATTAGTAATGGCATAAAATATAGATTTTAAAATAGTATAGATACATTTGAAGTTTCCCAGTGGGTTATCACTATTCTTAGAATTTTAGAGATTGCTTTTTGTTTTGTAAGTAAGTGTTCCAATAACAGCTTGATACTCTTGGTTATACATACAAATGTTAATCCTCAATAGCTCACGAAGGAAGAAACAGGCTTGATAGAAGGTCACAAGAAGGCTACTGGCAGAGTTAACACTAAATTTAGTAGCTCCTGAAATTCAACCATACTGCAGAAAATCAGGCTGATAAAAATACTTTATTTATGGAGGAGCTAAGACATAATTAATTGAAAGAAAAATGACTTCAGATCCCTCCTGTATTAAAGCTACATTATTAGACATTAAAAGAAATAAATAACAAACAGATCTACTAAGATCTGACATCATGGAACAATTTCTGTACACAGATTTGGAGCCAGCTGTAACTCATCATACCTTGAAAGGATATGTTTTAAATTCATAGGCAGTTCTTCTCATCATCCTGAGATGGGGGCCTCAAATAATTTTTCTTTCCTTTTTTCTGCCTGTGTTTTTATTCACTCTAGTAATTCCTGGATCAGTAGAAGACTATTTTCCTTAGTTCTTTATTTTGATAAACCTCTGTGATTTTTTTTTTTTAATTAGGAACCTGTTAAGACCTGTATAAGTTATTAATTATGCTTTTATGGCTAAGCAAATTGTATTTCAGACTTACCATTCTTCTCTGAAATGTCACTGGCATACCAGTTTTATGCAGAAGTCTTAGACCAGAATCTCCTCTTTTTCCATAGATGCACAAATAAACTGCAGTATCTGTATCAGCATGCTCCAAGTCACCGGTGTAGACATAAACATGGTATAAAACAACTTCCAAAAATAACCAAAAGAAGAAAATGCAAGTTACATGTAATCACAATTAGTTTTACTCACTATTATAGCTTAGTGATAACAACGCCAGCAAGTCTGATTTGTACTTAATTTTCTGGAATATACTCCAGAAATGAGTCCAACTATCTGCTTTTAAGACTGCTAAGACCACAATTCAGATGCCATTAATGTTGAAAACCAGATGATTAGTATATACATAACTGTACACACATACTTGGATAGATAGGTTTTCCAGCTTCCACTACTGGAAGTTCACAGAGAAATCCTCTGCCATCACAATTCTTTGATAACCGTGTGTTTGCTGGAAAATTCAGTGTTTTCTTGCTCTTTAGATGTTGCAGTGTCACCTGGAGAAGAAGCAATTCCAACTATGACTCAGTACACTCTTTTCAGTGCCATGCTTCTCAACAGCAAAACATGGTTTTGTACTTTTTTTTTTCTATCTCAGAAAACAATAACACAAATTGCAGTATCAAAATATATTTATTTTGGCCGCTACTTTGCAACAAACAAATCTGTAACTGAAATTTGTGGGTTTGCCATTAGAAATATTACCAAGTCTGATTTCTGTCCATGAATCATCTCTATGTAACACTGCCTGGAGTACTGAAGACTGAAAATCTTCTGATAGGTGATGTTAGGTCAGACTGAGCTTTTGGAAGATGTGGAAAGATTGACACATTTTTTATTTTAAAATGAAAACAGGATGAAACTCATCATCTACATCCTTCTGAAATTTGGCAAGTAGAGGATATGTTGAAATCTTAAATCAATTTGTATTATATTTGGCTCTTTTACAGCAGAAAAAAAGACAACCTGTGTACCACCACCCTCTATATATTCCTCTGAAGACGATTAGAATTCAAATTCTCAAGCTATTTGCCTATGTACATTTTGATAGCTGTCTTACTTGTTTCCTATAACTAAAAGTCATTACTATCTTCTATGAAAACAGTTTTTATTAGTCTTGAATTACAAGAATGTTTACTAAAGGTTTTTTCCATAGGCCTTGACTACCAAAAGGAAAGCAGTGCCAAAAATTATCTTTCTGCAGTTGTACTTCGAGTGTGCATATAATATGCATAAGCCTTGCAAACAAAATTATGAAAACAAGTATTTATATCCAAATTCTAAGACTTAGGAAATCGGAGCAAAAGATACCTTTTTCTCAGTTTCCCAATAAAATATTATGTCAAGTAAAATGAACACTGCTTTTAACACCAAAGCATGTATTTATTCTAATATGAAATACTTTGGCAGCACTGATTCCTAATCTCCAATATTTATTGGCAGAGCTCCCCCTGCTGATTCATAACAATTGCAAATATTAACTGCTTTGTCAGAAAAACACAGCTCTCAACATGATTACTTTTTCTCTGTGAAAAGAAATATTTGAAATCCCAGACTTACCCCATGAAATTTGGAACAAAATATTAAAGAAATATTTTGTAATCACCAGGCTGGAAAGTAGGACTCCTGTAATCATTTGAGCAACTGAAATATTTATACTTACATTCAATTTTGGTACAGTTACAGATGAGAGCTTTATGTTAATGTAAAAAATCTGTTATTACTGTCTAATTCTGGTTGTCTAAATCAGGCTTTTTAAGATTACTCAAATGACAAAGAATAAACTTGTTTCCTTTACAGATTCAAAGAAACAGAAGACAAATATTTATCCCAGTTCTGAAATAAATTTTATATGGGTGTCAGTGTTAACAAGAATTTCTCATAAATTAAATCTGGTGAGCATCCCTAAACAACACGAGAAAAATAGAGCTAAAACAAAACAAAGAAGAAGACTTAATTCACCCAATTGAAAAAAATTAGCAGGGTTTTTTTTCCCTTGAAAATGATCATAATTGTGAGCTGTGGTGGGGCCCATTAGAAGTTACTTAGCCTACTCTTAAGCAAACCTTGTTCATTCCTTGCATGTAGTTGTCATGTAATAATTCCTGCATCATTTTCAATCTTTCAGAACTGGAATTTATAGCTAAAACAGACACTGAACAGTACAAACAAGCTTTGAGAAAGTAAAACTTGGTTGAGCCCAGCAATAAAAGACACAATAAAATTGGTGTCTTCATGAATTAGGAATAATTGCAAAATAATCTTACATATTTCCATCTCTTAGGAGATGGACTGTGTCAGTGTTTTTGTCATCTCTAAAGCAACCTAAGAACACAAAGCAATAATAACTTATCCCAATCAGCATTTATTGATTCATGAAGCTATGGCTTTATGGAAAGATGGGCCTTTAATTCACATAAAAATTAATAAAATGGGAAAAAAATCAACATTAAAAAAATCTTACCCTTTGTAAGTTCCACTCTGATTGTTCATTTGGTAATCCATCAAATTCAATTCTTATCTTGTAGATTTTCCCAATGCTTTTTATTTCAACCTGAATAAAGTCAGAACAATACAATGTATAACTACATAAAATTACATACATTTCTTTGCATTGGTTTGAGATTTCCTTGAACCATGGTAGCATCTGAGTGTACAGGAACAGCACATAATATTTGATTGGCAGATTTTGGGGTACAGAATCCAGAAAAGAGACTGCTTATGTTTTGTCTGAGCAGATTTCTGTCTGAGCCCCAGTTTGACCAGACATAGCCTAGTGGAACCACAATGCTTGCCAGGAAAATGATTTGGCAGATATTTGAACTCTTCAAAGTTTGAAGAGTACAAAAAGTTGGTCAGGGTCATTCATGAGAGCAACAAGGAATACAAAATTATATCCTCTAAACTACAGGTCACAAATCTTTCATAATGCAACACGGTAATATCACCATAAACCTTAGTATGTCAAAATGAAGGATATAAAAAGAGTAAGCTCCCAAAAGCTGGCAGAACATCTGCAGAACTTTGGACGTCACCAATACTACCTTTTCCTTCTGACTATGATTTGTATTCATTCACATTTTCTTTGCACTTTCAAGCATTATATGTGCTCTTATGAAAACTAACATCTTCAAACAACTCTATCTTCAAAACTTCAAATGAATGCCCACTTTGAATTTAACCATTATTTAAAGCAAACATAAAAAATTTTAAATCTTTTGTAAGGCACTGCTACGAAAGGAAAAGTGTGTTATCGTGCTATTTCTCAAATAATAATTCTATTCATAAAAAGTTGGTAACAGCCTATTCCTCTCCATCATTTACATCCTATTTACATTGTACAAAAATTGTTTTCATTCTTTTAGAAACACATGCTAGCACATTATCAACCCAGTCTTTATCTTCACTAATAAAAAGTGCTCTTCTCTTTTTGGAGGTCAGAATTACCTCATTTCCTATATCAGCTTTTGGCTTTTTGCGCTTCTGTAGAATAAATTTTCGCATTATAGTCACAGCATTGCCATGCTTTAGTCAAAGAGTTCTGAAATCAAACAACTTTTAACTTCGATTTCCTGAACATTGAAATGCATATTGAAATCTCTCGGTGGTTGTTTGAGAAAGAATCTGTGGGTTTAACACCTGCTATTTGTATTGGTATAGTTGTTACATCAACTTGAATTTCATGAACAAAATTTCATTAACAAAATAAATGCAACACTGATGTGACAATATATTCCCTCTCTTTACCGGTGGATTAAAAAATTAACTTTGCTTTGCTCTGTTAAGTCAGATTCTGATAGCCTTGCTTATGCTGCATAATATTTCTCTCTAAAAGTAGTCTTATTAGAGGTGACCCGGAGACTTTGGGATTAAAGCAGTAGTAAAGTAAGGGTATATATTCAGCTTGACTGAAAAAACAGCTATTGTCCTTTTCCCCATTTCACAAAAAAACTAACCCAGTTCTCAATAATATGGGATGTGGTCTTCTCATTCATAGAGCAGGTATTCACTGAATATACAATGTTATCATATTGTCTGTTTATTCTAATGAATCCCTCTTTAGACTTACATGACAATTTAGAGTTACATGATAATTTCATGTATCAACACAAAACAAAATGTAGCAGACTTTCACAGAATGAAAAGAGTGATTTCTGCCTCAAACAAGTAGAGGTCTTCCGGAAGAAACACTCTGGTAAGCTTGATTTTTCTCATGCACAATCCTAAGAAGGATTAGACAGGCAATGACTACTTACATGGGTAAGATAAGAAAGGGAAGGTCATATATGAATGGTTTTCATTTCTCAGGATAGTTCTACTCAAGTTTTTCATAGTTGAGCATATTACTGATAAAGTGAAATGTTAAAGATTTTTACACTGATTCCAAATTGTCTTATTACAGCCTTTCAGAAACTGCTTTCTTACTATAACTCCTGGCCAGAGCTACAATTAAGTTGACTATGTTGAAAAATAAAATTTGGTATCCTCTGCTCTAGAATATATCAGTGAAAACATATCAAGTTTATGGAAATGGTAAGAAGAAGAAGATGAAATTTTTTTTTTTGTCTTACATTCCTATCCTCATTTCAAGACCTACTCTGTTAAACAAGTACAGGACAAAGCTTAAAGAGAAAAAATAGAAGAAAGAGCTGTTACTCATGGGCCTTTTCTTTCTTTCTTTATCTACTTCAGACTAAAGAGTGAAAAGCATTTCAGTGACATTTGCCATTTCCTGCCTGAAAGCAACAGTGTCAGGGTGATGTAAAGAATCATAGTAGTAGCTCCAGGTGCTGAGAGAAAAATTCTGCTCTCTCACAAGATCAATATCTGCAGCACACAGCCATAATGGACCATATCTATTTTAGAGAAGAGAAATTGGTCCATCTCTTCAGAATGTATGGATTAACTTTGCAAACATGCCATTACCCAAAATTGCTTATAAATTATTTACTAATTAGGAGAACAAGATTGACTGTGGATCATAATATATAGCCTATATGCTCAGAAAATGAACTTTATGATAGGTTATCTTCCTGCCTATGCCCTATTCATAGAGAGCATTATTATTAATATTATTGACATTAACAATCTTGGGTTGTGCCAAGTTTTTATTAGAGGAGTTGAGGAGTGCAGAAAAAAAAAATGTGAAGAATGTAACTTCTGCTTTAGTTAGCTGAGGACAGCAATGTTACATGCATCTCAGACAGAAAGATCTAAGCAAAACATAAATTTTAATGCCTTTGGTAATTTCCTCTCAGCCTACCTAGACACAATTTCCTCATTACAATAGAGGTGGGGTCATCCTTAAATTATAGCATAAACCCTGAGTTTTCATGACATGATCAAATGTAGTTTTCATTGGACTCTTACTTGTTCCATGGGTAAATCTGGCCCTTTGGTCATTTATAATATGGCAGCACTAAAAAGGGTTTTCTTCCTTAATTGAACCAGTTCCACAGCATACATTTTATAGTATGCTTTGAAAACTGTATACCTGAAGATTTAATTACTAAATGATATGCTAGTCTTACATCAGGCACGGTTCATCTAGAAATGAATAGTTTTTAAAGCTAGTTTCAAATTAATTGCCTTAAAGAAATCAATGTACTTCTGCAGTTATTTCCTTTGGTCAACTATATGAGAGAGGGGCTTTAAAAGAAAGCGTATTTCTTCTGTTGCTTACGATATATAACAAGCTGATTTAATACACAATTCATGGAGATTAGATACAGATTTATTTTATAGCGTATATATATAGGAGAAAAACATTTTTTCTTTTCACATGACAGAATAATCCTTGGAAAGGTCTACATTAAAATAATGTTCTTAGCCTTCATTAGCTACCTGAAATTCGTCTTCCTGCCTGGGAAGAAACAGCTGCTTCCTGTTGTCCTCGCCAAGAGTTATTGGTCCAGCTACTCCTCTGTCTCCATATATCCAGAGAGCAACATTCGCTTCAGTTCCTGCATTTCCTGTCAGTATTGACACTTTCCATTCATCATCTGAAGGAAGGGGATGCTCACCACCTTGGGGATTTCTCATTTCCTCTGTGAAATACAGAATATTTGTGGGAGACGACAATTGACATGAAACTTCCAGTTGCTGTTGTAACTTCAGTACATAAAGAGGCCATAACAGCAGGGGGATTGTATTTTTTCATGGCAAGTGAGACAGTCTGAAAAGATTGTTTTATGTTTCTTGTCTAGACCAAAATGTGCTGATTAGCTGAGCAACAAGAATCAACTGGAAAAATAACAAGTTATCTCTCGCATGCATTATCATCATAGTCTTTATACATATTCTGGAGTAGAGTAAGGATGCTATGATGCAGAACTATGACCATTAAATTGACATTTTTGATTCCTTAGTCTGGCATTTAGAAATTAATAGAATTACTCCTCTAATGCCTTGTGTTGGGACATGATTAGCAGAGTCACATATCTGGGAATAGAGACAATTTGCATTTCGAATTTAAAAAAAAAAAATCAGGAAATTATCTTTCTTCAAGTTAAATATTAACTAAATACTGTAAAATAAATCAAAAAGGAGCTCAATATATCCTTGCCTAACCATACGTATGCATACAGTGCCAACATTTGGTCTAAGGCAGGCTGTACATGAATGAGACAATAACAGCACAGAACCACTTTATGAATAAATTTCACAGCTTTAACGGCTGAGCAAATATAATTTTGGAAAACATAGGCTTCACTTTAGAATAGCACCTAGTGGTTTTCTATCTACCTTTAAGAGAAATATATATATATATGCAGAGATGTCAAATTATACCTCTGCATATGTGATATGAAAAAACAGATTCTGTTAGGCTAAAGGAATTGGGTTTGAGTATTCTAGTCAAAGTGGAGTTTACAAAGATCAGATGGCTGGAACAGTACTTTTGAATAACTAAACCACTGACCATGGAATGCTCCCCAAAAAAGGGAGTACTTGCTGACAAGAATTTATAGTCTATTCTGACACGGGAGGCAGATATAAATCCTAAATTTGAAAAAATGAACTTACACATTGTCTATGTACTGTGTCCTCCAGGGATTCCCAAACTGTTCAATTTGAGAACTCCTTTTCATGTGACTGTAAAGAGACTTTTTAATATGCCACCAATATAAATTTGTTGAAGAATTCCCAAAACATCACTGTGCATGTTTCTGCTGCACTACATAAGTTATGTACTGCTATTAGAGTCTTTTTTTTTTATTTCCTTGATTAAAATACTGCACTAGGTTTCTCTGGGATGGAGTTTTTCCCTTGGCTTATTAAACTGCCCTTACATCAAAGGAAAAAACAAACAAATAAACAAACCTACAATCAAAAAACCTGAAAAAACAAAACCCCCCCAAAAAAACAAAAACAAACAAACAAACAAACAAACAAAAAACACAAAAAAAAACACACAACAAAACAAAACCAAAAAAACTCCCAAACTATGCAAAAGCTATCCCTCACTAACAGTAGAATGATACCCAACTAGTCCCAGAGGAATGACTATTTTGAAAAAACTCTGCTCCAGTTCTATTTGTGAGCATGGCAATATAAGGGACAATATCTCTTTGGTCAGTTGGGGTTAGCGCAGAGTGAGCAGAGATGGATGGACTCTGCTCTGCAAGTGATGCTCAGCAGCAGCTGAAACTCTGGTGTGTTATCAACACTGCTTTGGTTACCAGTCTAAAACACAGCATCAGACAGACTGCTAGGAAGAATATAAGGTTCATCCCAGCCAAGCCCAGTACAAATATTAAAAAAATAAAGCAATACCTATGATGGAAATTTGCAAAATTTATCTGATTCTGCTTTGTTGCTAGCATTAAAAAATAAGTTTGAATCCTTGAGACTTGCTTCTTAATAAACTTTTATGAGCAATAAATCCCACATCTTGATGAATCACTGCTGAAGCAAATTGGGTAAGTGAAGAAGCGTTGATTCAATACTTCATGTTCCCTTTAAATTTCCTCAAATGCACTTTTATGATATTAAGCAAATGCTTTTTTCTTTCTTCTTAAAAATTGAAATAACGGAACTACAACAAAATAATTGCTCTGGTATAACAAATATTTTTGAGAATTTGACTATACAAGTTTCTGTAACTTTAGTTACCTAACTTCTTACTTGTAACTCAGAAATCTAGAGTTCCTTCCAGCTATCTAAAACCATCTCTTTCTTACAGCAAAGAGATTAAAATGTTCATAAAATGCACAGATATTCAAGAAACATAAGGAATCCCAGGCTACTCCATGTACTTAGGACAAGAATTCCATACTCTGGTGACTGCTACCCAAAGCAGTTACTGCAACCTCAAACTACTACCACTTGGAATAATTTTAATGCATAAACAATTCACAGACTTAGAATGCTTTTTGCCTCATAATTTACTGGCTCTTCTTACAAATGGAAATTGGTTGCATTGATTTGCTACAGGCTAAAAATATTGCTGTCTGAAAAGAGGATTTGATGGTTACCCTGCATTAGTCATGAGAGTTTACACACTTCATGACACCATGCTGTAAATCTATTGCAATAAAAATTCATTCTGACAGGCCTGCATGAGAATGATGAAGTCACAACCCTTCACACATTATTTCATAAAAATAACCTTTTTTTAAATTTACTTATCCTAAATCTAACATAAAAAGAAAATTATTTTGTCTCAGAATACCGTTTGATTGAGTGACACTTTTAAAATGAACCATCAGAAAAATTAATCTCTAGAGCAAAAGTTTGGGCAATAAAGTTGATGTATTTTTATTATACCTGTGTGTATCATTCTTTCCAAAGTTAACTGAGTGGAAATGAGATCAGATTTTATTTGATTCTTATTTGCTTTTGTAAGTAAAATATATTAAAAAATTAACAGCACCTAATAGTACACCAGGCATACAGGAAAGGAACACAGAGGATACAGAGAGCATTTCTCAGAGGTACATTTTGTTAATACCAAACCACAGAGATGTTCTCGAGGTCACAGACTGCTTTTGTGTCATGGAAGCTAATGACACCTGAGCTGTTAAGTAGAAGCTGTGACCTGACATCCTCTCTATACAGTGAAAGAAGTTTCTTGAGGAACATTGCACTCATACTGCAACAGGAGAAGCCCCAACTGCTGTAGCACAGTTTCCAGTTCAATTAATCCTAAATCAATTATTATTTGTGAAAACAGAAACCAAAACACAGGTTAGCAGACACAGACATAAAAATGATGGATTTAATTTGCCCTGAGTTTGACTGCTAAGCCTACTGCTGGACTGTATACTCAGTACAAACATCACCCTTTTTCAAATGCTAACTGGGAGTAAAAAAAGCAAATGAGAATTTAATGAATATGAGTTTAAAAATCAAGGTTCAGCTGTACATATCAAAAGATAGTTACCTTTAAAGTATTTTGAGTGAAATTTTGAGTGAAAATATCTTACTAAAAATGACCATTTTCATGGAAGGGCAGAGTACCTTTGATATTTCTATTTATTTAGCACAAGCAGAGTCCACATTTATGAATGCCAGAAAAACTACTTACAAAGTGCTATAGACTCTATGTAACCAATTTCACTGCAGATATTGCTTTTATAAAAGGATCCTTTGTATCCAACCCTAAAAACATCCAGCTGCTTTGAAAACAGGTTAAATGGCTTGTGTATTATTGCCATGTGTTTCCAACACAGCATATCTCATCACTTGCTGACAACCCACAACACTTTGGGAAGGCTTAGTGACACAGTGATACAATATGAAGTCTGACAGATTAGAAAGTGGGTGGTTTTGAGCTAAAAACGGAAACAACATTGCCAGAAATAAATAACAGTAATTGATAATGATTCACACCTATGTCTGGAATTTAACCATCCTCACTCTTTAAGAGATTAATCATTCCCTGTTTTGTTTAGTTGTGTAGTTCCTTAATCACATTTTGTTTTGTTACTAGGATGATGAATATTTCTAAAACTGTTGTCTTAGACCTTTTATGCTACTTCTAAACCACAATATGTAGCTAAAGAAGAAAGCAGTTTATTCTAGAAAAACACATCACTCCAGAAGGATGACCAGAACTTTGTTTATCTGTTCCTACCTGCCAAAACATAGGTATAAAGCTAGAATGCAATGAACCAAAGAACCAAAGTCTTCTTTTCTCCAGTGAACCAAAAAGCTGAAAACATGAGTGTGCGAGACAGTATAAATAAGAAATATTCCATTACTTTCAGCAAGCTTTAAATTGGCCTCTGCACCATAACAACCCCTTAATTTCCACGGAAATAGTCCTCAGATAGATTACTAGTTCCTTGAAAAAAAAGTAATGCAAAGTTATTCAGTTTACTGATTGCTACCTTTTCAATAAACCTCCTCTTAAAAAAACAATGACTGGCAATGTGTTTTATGTTGCATGTATGCCTGCATGATTCAACAATCTAGAAAAGTCATTCATTGTCCTTCTTGAGATAAGTGTCTGCAAGCATGTACAGAAAGCAGGCTTAACACCTGTATCACGACTAGTTTGTAACCTGTCACTTACTGGAGGATGGGGGAGTTGAAGGGCTTTGAGATACCAGCTTCTGGGCTTTTCCTGGTTGGAGTTGAGATTCTCTGAAGTCTTTCTTCTCTTGATTGGGTGCTGCAGAGGTTCCCATAGGTTCTTCCCGGCCAACTAAAACAATGAAATATAAATTCTGTCACTAGCTACAAGCCTTTTGCTTTTTCTTGCTCAGAAACTACTAAAAGATCTCATTATTATTCAACAGAGTAGATATCAAAATCTTTTCTCTATATATTGCACAGCTAGAAGCAATAGGATTTTATTGTTAGCAGAATGCCACAAGAAGTGGAAAAAAAATCAGGCATGCCAATTAAAGTCCATTCCATGCTTTGAAAATCTAAGTAAAAATTTAACAATGATGTATGAATAAAATGACTTGTTAAAATGTAGCTTTCCTCAAAATAAACTTCTCCACCTCCACGATGTTTCCTTTCTTAAGAGTGGGAATGCTGAAATGAAAACTGCTAGAGGCCATTTGAATAATATGAAGCAAATTGATATTGTTAAGATGAAGCAAACAGAAAATATTTATTGCTGGCATAGAAAATATTAGCTCCTTTTTATATTCCTTTTACTGAACAACAAGGATTCAGAAGAGTTGAAGCCTGTAACAAAGTAACATTTAGCTTTATTTTGTGACATTTCTATCAAAAACACTGCTCTTCCAAAATCTAACAAGGGAAAATAATTTCCTCATTTCTATGAGGACACAGTGATCAAAATATTTTTTTCACCTTGAAGCAAATAGGGACTGAACAGTAGGAATGCCATTGCAGTGACTTTCATAAGGCTTCTCTGTGTCTTGATCACAATACACATAGAGCAATTAGTAAGACTAGTTGTATGTTTTGATACTTTCTCTTTGCATTCAGGATAAGCTTGTTCCACTTGTGTTTGGAAAAAATCTGACCAGCTTCTCAGTTTCAAACTGATGTCCAGTTTAGCCTTTCCATGAGATGTTTCATTTCTTGATCTCTGTAGTCATGTCCACCAGATAAGAATATGGTTTATGTAGAATAGCACTCCCTGCAGTTATAATCTCAGCTGGTTATCTTTGGTAACCAATTTTTCACCAAATTAGAAACATCATTCTCTTGCAGGAGAAAAGACAAGCAGGCAATCCAGGGACAGTGACCCAGACTGTGCTGAGAAATAATTTCTGAGTCTTAGCTAGTTGACTAGAAAAGGTGAGCTCCCCAGTGAGGAAGCATTTTGACCACAATAGCTCTCAAATCTGATTATGGGACAGAAGAATGGCATAATGAATATACTAGTGTGGGGGACTACAATATATTTCACATCATTAAAAAAGAAACTGAACATTGCCAAGTAGGTCCTCTTGAAAGACTACTAATTCCCCTATAAAATCAGGAAAGACTATGGTACACCTGGCAGCAAGACAACATCCCCCAGGCTTCCATAATCTGTGGGCAGAATGGGGAATACACGTAAGAAATCAACTCCATCTCTATCTTTTCACTTATTTTGATTCTCGTTTTCAAAAATCTATTAGTAAAACTATTGATATCTTCTGCATAATTTATTATTATAAAAAGAAAGTAAAGATAACTAAATACATGGCAGAAATTAAGTGTACATACAGTAAACTTTTAAAATTACTGAAACACAACAAGGAAAATTGTGCCCACATAACTTTTACAGTTTTGCTTTGAATTTTCTTAGAAAATTAGAAAGACTAATCTCTAAATCAAACTACAAACCATTGAGAAATCACATACATTTAATGACCTGTGGGTAGAAAAAAATATTTCTCTCTCCAGTGTTAACGACTGGTTTAGTTTGGCCATCTGGCAGGAGACCAACATATATCCCTTTGTTTTGCACTGATTCTAGACTTATAGATCCAGTTTCCAAATTCTTCTCAATTTTAAAGTGACAGTATTCATCACCTGTGCCCTAAGAAGTTGAAAACAAAAACATAAAAAAAACAGTCGAATTCATGTAGCTACAGGAGCTGGATGTTTCTTAAGTCTTAATTATTACTACTTTCCAATAACATTTCAGATTAACTTTACATTCCTCACAACATGCTACATTATTACATGCATACCTGCACCTTATTCTTGTTTATTCCTTTGTGACCAGAAAGACTAATCACATAAGTTAGGTAAGTGAAGGACCAAGTGAAAGCATTCTGATTTATGTTAGAATTTAGGCAAATTCTAGGATATATTCAAAGGAGTTTCCCACCTCAACAACTTTCAGAGGATTAAGGAATGTGAAAATATCTATTTCAGAAAACATATGGTATTTATATACAGATTTTATAGATAGCACAGATTTGGTAATGCTACATAATATAACATCCATTAAATAGATGTAACTTTTTTTCAAGTTCATAGCACTTACAAGTTTAATTTCAAAACCTTTACACAAACCCTCTTTTTATGCAGACCTCCTGATCCATTGGTGAAAGCATTGCTGAAAAATAAGATACTTGCAAAGCCTACATTCAAAATATGGATCAAATATTTTAATCTCTGAACAAAGTGTACTGGAGTCAATGACAAAACTCTCATGGACCTCACATTTGAGTACTTACACAGCTCTGTTTCATACTCACTTATCTTAAACTCCCCAAAAAAATGATACGAGAATACTTCTCACATAAATATGAGAATTTTAACTTAGATTAACAGAATCAGACTTTAAAAGTCAGTGCAGTATGCATTTACTTACATCTTAATTATTCTTTAATAGGTTTTATCTTCATCATCTATCTTGCAGCACATAAGTTTTAACTACATCCACATTCTCAATAGTTTAAAAATATAATCACATCTTTACAATCGACTGCCATATTGACACCAACAGCTTCTCTTGCTATATTTTTCTATCTTTTCTTGGGCAAATGAAGGAAAATATCTGAAACATTTTAAATCTGAAAAAAGTTTTATCCCATTTTTATCCAACCAAGTAAAAAAAGATTCTCTCCTATCACTAACAATTTACTAAAACTATCTGCAGGGGGAAATACAAACAAGAACTGCTTACTGTTCCATCACACTGGTCATCTTTGATCTTCAGATACATTCTTGGTTTTCTCACACTTTCAAACATACAGAGTCCAGAGCCAATTTTATGCACCTTCCAGTAGGATTCCTGCTGCTTCTGACCTGCTCCACTGCAGCTCCCATCAGGTCTAAGGGACAGAGCCTGGCAGAGACTTGTGTTGAGCAGAATGATGGCACCATGATGAAACACACCCTTTAGATCAGAGGCAAGAAGTCCTTTGTGAATAGCACAGCCTTTCTCCATACTAAACTGTGATACTGATATTGCTCCTACTGTTTTATTTTAAGCACTTACTCATGCATGTTCTTGTATAAAACATAAAAGAGTTAGTCTCAAGTAACTCAAGTATACCTCCAGTCTTTGAACATTTGCTGCTTTCTGTGCAGGCACTAACCAGAATAGTGGAAATCCTTTCCTACTCGGCAGCTTCCCTGCTTTTTCTTGCTCAGCAGCGCAGCACAACACCCAGAGCACAAGGAGTGCAGCAAATTAAGGAACTTGTCTCTTCTCAACAGCAGCTCTCCTGCGTGTACCTACATTCCTATTTTTCGAAGCTCTACTAGGAAGTTTATAATATCATCTTTCCTGTGTTACAGCCCACTCTATTTGCATGTACCAGCTGCAGTATCGGCATCACTCCTCCCAGGAGAGCAGTGAAGGAGAACTTGTCAAATGCTTGCCTACCTGTTAAGCTGTAGTTGAGCTCCACCTCGTGGAAGAGGATCACTCTTTTAGCTTGCAAACCTCTGACACTTGGCTAGATACAGTCTGCTTTATAATAGCAAATTTAAGAAGCGTCTTCTTAATTTCCCTCTGCCCACCTTACCTTGACATGCACAACAAACTCTTTGGAAATCCCAGCATATCCTGTTGTTTCATCAGCTACTTCGCCTTGAAGATTGAAAGTCACAATGTGACCTGGGTAGCTGGCTGACTCAAGAATGGCACAACCATTTGGTTGAAGGTGAACATGGAGGTTACAGCATGCCTTGTCTTTGCTCTAGCATAGTCAAAGGAGGAATAATAAATTAGATGAACTAATCCAAAATAGAGAGTATCGCAATGTAGTTTTTATGTTGAGTTCCAACCATACTACCAGTCTAGTACAAAAATTTTTATATTTCTCAGATTTGCAGTCCTAATGCTTAAGGCCTAAATTGTGGACTCTGTGAAACAGCTCATTGTGAGAGGACACAGATCTGATGATAACACGAAAGATACCTGGGTGCCTCAATTAGAGAGAGTGAGAGTCACAGTTGATAAACATGGCAAAAAAGTATAAAACTGACATAGACAGGAAATGAACCACAGGAACTCTTGGCCACCAGCCCACCTTCTCTTGCCTCTGAGTCCTCATTCATCTGTATTGTTCTCACAGAAAACCCTTAGAGAGTCAGAAGTTTCACATGAAAAAGTAAAGCAACACAGTCTCCATGCCTGTCTGTTCAGGTTTGAAGACTCTATGATCCCATTGTATAAAATACATAATAGAAAAAATACATATTTAAATATTTTATCAACTCCAACATCATTCTCATATTTAAATAAAACTAGGATTTTAATCTGTGTAAAATGCTAATAATAACTCCAATAACTGAAAGTACTTCTGACTAACATCATCTAATAATTTTTCAGCATTTTTAAGACTTCAAAGAATAAATATTCCTAGGAAAATTTTTAATTTCCAAGGCACTACCTTCCGAAGAAAAAGTTTCATGTACATCATGTAAAAGAGGAATGGGACCAGCTTCCACTATGAAATTATTCACTGCATAGATAAAGGGAAGAAATTGAAAAAGAGAAAGGAAAACAGCTTCTTCCCTCATCAGTAGGAGAGTTTTGTTTGCTATTAAAAAGTGTCCAGATGGTGAAGGGTCTAGAGAGGAAGCCATACAAGGAGCAGCTGATGTAACTTGTTTTTTTCAGCCTAGAGAAGAGACTGAGGGGAGACTTCATGGTCATGAGAGGAAGCATAGGGGTAGGCACTGATTGCCTCTCTCTGGTGACCAGTGACAGGACCCAGGGCAATGGCATGAAGTTGTGTCAGGGAAGGTTTAGGTTGGATATTAGGGAAAGGTTCTTTACCCAGAGGGTGGTTGAGCACTGGGACAGGCTCCCCAGGGAAGTGGTCACAGCACCAAGCCTGATAGAGTTCAAGAAGCATTTGGACAATATTCTCAGGCACATGGTGTGACTCTTGGGGCTGTCCTGTGTATGGTCAGGAGCTGGACTTTGATGATCCTTGTGGGTCTCTTCCAACTCAGGATATTCTATGATTCTGTGATCATAAGGAAGGAACTAAATCCTACAACTCCATTTACCTACTTGTATACTGCAAGTGATGAGAAAAAAGGCTTGGAAGATGGGATGAAACAAATCAAAATGGATCAAAACAAACCCTGGACTGTATCAATTGCTTTATGACTGGCATGTTACTTAGAAAAGACACAAAGGAAAAACGAACATTTTAAATCAAGCTGTAGATTTATGCTTATCCAAATAATAGGATATATTAGGGCATTCCAAGGAGCTTGTCAGTATGTGGCAAGCCAATAAAAATGACAGCTTGGAATGGTCTGGTATTCCTGCAGCAAATCATTTAGTTAACATACCCTACAAAAGAGTAAAAAGTAAACTATAAGAAAACAAAGCCTTATGTCTAAATTCACCTATTCATTGGCAATTTCCTGGATTTAATTCTGCAATCTTTCACTCCTTATCTGATTGGAAGTACAATTATTTACTAGACAGATTTAAAAAAACTTTATTTTTAATCAGACAATGACATGTAACTATGAAACAGAAATCAGTAGCAGCATTTCCTACCTTTCCAGTTACATGGCCATTGACAAGAGCGAGAGCAAGACGTGGCATCTGATGACTGCTGAACATATAGATATTTCTCCTTTTGACATTTACATCAAAAAAACCTAAGAGTTAAATGAAAAAAAAAAAAGGTTAGAAGCATGAAAGTATATTAATTCATACTTGCATTTAATTACAATCAATGGTTTATCATTTTCAAGGGAAAAGAATTAATTAAGTGTTTAACTCCACAGTTTGACCTCTCTGATCAATAAATTCTCTCATTCATTCAGGAAAGGGCATCTAGGGACTGCTGTCTATTTTGCTGCCTTGAGGAGGAAAACCCTGACGGCTAATGATAAGGAACAAATTTCTTTTTATCATTGTATATGTTTAAAAAAAAATCCATAAAAAGGAGCTGAGAACTCCAGCATAGTGAACTGGGCTATAGCAATGAATTTAGCTGATAAATAACAGATGATGTAGGGAACATAAAGTTCTCAAGTAAGAAAAGAGAATTCATTTTCTCAATATCCATATTATAATTTGTAAAGCAAATCCTGCTGTGTAGCTCAAGGCTTCTAAAATTTTAAATCTGGCCAATTTTCCAAACAATTACCTCTTATAGCTACAAAATACTGATGAAAGGTGAAGCAGTGCCATTTTTATTGTTCCCAGCAACAACAGATGATCTTTTAAGTAACTACCAGTACATTATGTTGCCTATTTGTTGGATGCAGCTGTCTCTAGAGGACTCCTGTGGTGTCCTGATGCACTCTTTGGCATGTCCTGAAAGATTCTATTCTTTCCCAAAAGATCTGTGTAAGGACCCTGGGAAGATGTCAGAAAGGCTGAGCAGCTCCATCACTAAAAAGGTAGTAAAATGTGTGTGCCTAATATGATATGTTTTACAAGTTAGTAACGCAGTAGGATGAAAGCTGATAAAGGGGAGGAACTGGTAGACTACCATTAAAATCAGTTACAAGAATAGAATAAAATGAATTTACATTTATATGTAAACACACACACAAATATATATATATACTCCTTGTTAATGAACCATACCTAGAATTTCGAATTTGTTAGCTTAGATAGATCTAAGTGCAAAAGACAGTAACTGTTCTTGCCATGTGAGTTCTGTGGGAGCATTAAACTGCAGACGACAAAAAGTTTCTCTTTAGTAAGAGAAAGCCAGTGACAAGACACTATATGAGAATTTTTATGTGTGTGTCATCTTTATGTAAAATAGACATGTAATTTCTGAGTTCTTACAGCCATTAATACACAGATTAATACAAGTATTAATATTTTGAGTAAGGAAAATTTTGAGTTTTATAATTATCTACTCCTATTCATTATAGTAATATCTATATTAAAGTCCTCCTTTCTTGTTTCTTTTATGTACAAATCCACATGAAAAATACTTTACCATATTTGTTTTTCTTGTCACCAAGAGCATCCACTCTGCTATCTGGGTTGAGGCAAATGAAGCCATGGGTGAGCCTGTTGTAAAATTGAAGTGTATTTCCTTTCTGAAATTTCCACTTCTCAGCAGCCCACTAGTTTTGTAAACAACAAACAGAAAAGACTTATGAGAAGATGATACACAGGAATTTATCATACAAAGCATTCAACTGACCTGATTCACTCAAAGCATAATTTGAATGTTTTAAATCAAAATAAAAAAGTACATTCTTACAGTTTCTTCTCTCTTGAGTTCCAGCTCTTGTCCTGTGCAGACAAAAACAGTGTAATTAATTTACAGAGTTTCTTCATTCCATTTGACACAGTCACAGTGAGGCTGAGTTCCCCTCCTCACCAGTTTTCACTTACTTCCTGGAAATGTGCTGGCGTCTGTCACAGCCAGTTCTCTAGCAATATTGCCATCATCCTGCCCCTGATCCAGCCACCTAAAAACCAGAACCTGTTTCAGCAGTAAGCTTGATTGCCTAATTCCACAGTAATGTATACATGGCACTTGGATGCTGATACTCACTGTTCAATGTATTAAAGTCTCAAGGCTGACAAACAGCAATACAAAAATCCAGTTTATTGAAAAGAGATTACCATCGACAAAAAAATTATTTTGCTTACTTGCTCTTGATGAAATATAAGTAAATGCTTTCCTGGACTGAGGTACAAGGGCCTAACCCATTTAATACAAATCAGAGAACTCATATCAATAAAACCAGATCAATAACATAATGTGCAGTGGTCACTATGTTTGCTCTTCCCGTCTGCAAGAAGGCTACAGCAGGATGCAAATTGTTCCGTGCCCTGAAAATCCTGATATAAGGAGGCAAATCCAACACTGGCATCACTTTTACCATGTCTGAAAGATATTTTTACAATGCCATCGTACACATCTACTTACGTCAGTTAAGTCTAACTCCATTTGAGTCAAAAGCATTCACACACTTGAGTATAGTAGCAAGCACGGCATCAGGCTCTAACAATAAATAGCACATACCCTCTATTTTTCTGCCTGAAATGGATTTGAACTCTCCCTAAATTATGTATGAAGCTAGCATTATAGATCTCTTCATAGCAGTTCATCTCATCTAGAATACAGAATCAAAATTAGGTCAGGCAAGGATGAGGTGCTGTATCTGATAGGCAGAAAGTCCTTACTCACACATAAATCAGATTCAGTGTGCACATCGCTCACTCCGAGCTGTCTCAGGCAGTTATTTATTCACTCAGAGAAGTGAGAGGAGGAAATAGAATTGGGGTGCCACTGGCAAGCTGCAGCTAGAATCTTACGTGACTGGACTGTACCATTCCTAATATTTGCACTGATCTTTATCGATTAAAATTTTTCTGCAAGGTGTTGAGAATTAATCAGGCATAGATAAAATTGGAAATGAGTTATAGAACAGAAGATTCAGAGCAGAAGCATCTCCAGGGGGAAAGGAAGGGAAGTTAATACTGCTTCAAATTAAGTGGCAGCTCAGTGAAAGGCTGCAAAGCAAATGAGCAAAAGAGATGTGGTCAGGTGGCTGCATTTGTGATTACCATTTCACAGGATCTTAAAGTCTGATCCTGAGCTCACTGAACCCCATGTTAATCTCCATATAACTTCAGTAAACCAGGAACAGTTTGCTAGAGGGACAGCAACCCACTCTTCTGCCTTGCATAGCATGACATGGAAGAACAGATGGACCTGCTGGTGTCAGATACAAGGTGTTGGATATGAGGAATATGTGAAAAAAACATGCCTTAAATAGTTCAAAAGGTGCAAGAATGGAAAGTTTCCAGGCAGAATATTTTATTGCTTTTTCATTAGTTCAAATTCACCAGAGGTTTGGGGCAGGTACAACTCAGAGAGCCGTAATAAGAATCAGACCATTTCAGCTTACTTTTTACGAAACACATATTTACCTTCACAGGACATTTCAGGAGAAAAACTGAGAGTAGTTACAAATTTATTAAGAATCTAACCGAAATTAAACACCACCAACCTGTGACATAGAAAAGTATAATCCAAATCTGTTATGGGATCCTTGATTACAACTTTGTCCAGAAACCATCCATTTCCTTAGAACAAATAAAGTAAAAAAAGAAAACGTTTGTTTGTGAGAAACAGATTGATGGATTTAATGATGTTAGACTTCCTATAGCTTGCTGTCTTCTACTGGAACTGCAAAATCGGTAGCTTTACTGACAGGTTGCTAGAGTCACAGCTACCCTGATGTCTGGAGAGAAGACAGTACCTGCTCTAGGTACTGTAGGGCTTGGTTATGGGCCTGCAGGCTGCTAGGTCTCTCCCTGGCTACATCCCTCCCTCCTTAACAAGTCATTGTATGACTTGTGCTTGTTTTGCCAATAAAAATATCAACAAAATTAGATAGCAGGTTATCATGGCTCAAAATGAATTGCTATGATTTACAATATTTAGGCTCAAGAGTTTGAAAAATACAACTTGTGGCTGCAAGCAATTTAAGTTTCACCATTAATTGGAAGTCTAATGACTTTAGTGTAGCAAAAATCTTCAACTGCATCTTTACAATGCAACTGATAATGCCAATCAATTTAAAATTTTAATAGCCCATTTTAACTTTAATACAAGACACAATCAATGTCTTAACAGGCAGACATTCTCCCTCTTCATAGTTTTTTCATAAGGATTAGTAAAAAAATTACTAGCAGGTGATGTCCTTAACATATTGGTCGAGAGTATTTTGAAAATGAACGCAAAATATTTGAAATCTATGATAATACAATAAGGTAACTATGTCATTTGAACAGTTATCTTAGAAGCCTTTGTCTTTCACTTCAAAAATGCTATCACATATTCAGTTTTAGAAATACATATTGTATTTCCAATAAAAGATTAATAAATTTGCAGGCAGTATTCAGTGACTAGAGAGAGAGATTTCTGACCTGATCCAAGACCATTGTGTCCTATAACAATCTTGTACAAATGTCCAAGGTGCACAGCTTCAACAGCAAAGATGTCAGTCTGTAATCAATCAATGAAATTTCAGTAAAATCTAAAAAAGCAGAGAATTCCTCAGCCATGAAATTCTGAAGACCCATAGACCCTTATAACTCTTTTGTCAAGGTCATTTAAAATATCAGCTAATGATAAAGTGAGAACAAACCATGAAGGTCAGATTACCTGAAATAGAAGTAGTAAGTAAGCCTGATCACTTGCTAATGGCAGTAGTTCCATTCAAATGAATGTGATCAGTCAGGAAAGAGAAACCTGCTGAAAGCTTCACAGTCTAAACCATTACAAATTACAGCAGATTTCAACATTAGAAATTCAGATATAAAATGCAATTTCATTTATTATTCGATATTAAATCAAATTTTTAGAAGAATGAAAAACAAAAGTACACAGCTTACTTATGTTATAAATGAAAATTCTGACTTCCAAAAGCACTGGCATAACTTGAGAAAGTATTTTGGGCTTAATTATGGAATTTTGGGAAGCCATTGGAATGCTTCCCAAATGAAGTAATTATCTCCTTTCTAATTGCACCTTTTTTGGAATAACCACCCACCTGAGAGATAAAAGCTAGCCAAAGATATCAAAAAATTCCCTGTCTTTCGCTTACTTGTCCTTTTAAAAATTTCTTGGATTTCTGTGACCTGAGCAGCTGTCTTGATCCTGTATCACCTCTTTCTCCATAGACAGAAATATAGACATCAGCCTCAGTTCCAGCATTCCACAGGTCTCCTGTTGTCACATGCACTTCATAGACAGTCACTGACAATAAAAGATGACAACTTTTCTTATCACAAACACTATTACAGTTACAATAACATCTAGCTGGGAATGTGTCTGTAGAGTCCAAATACATCTGTGTCAAAGACAGGCTACAAAACCTTAAAAATCCTATTCAGTAAAATAATATACAACTTGCTTTGGTGTTACATTTATGGTTTTTGTCCCAGGATGTCACTGTGGGGAACACAAACAGAATTAAACTTCACAATAGTATGTCTTTGTCCTGCAGCATCCTTTGAAATCATCATAAAGCTGAAAAGTAAATAATATAAATCCAAGATTAGCTTCATCATAAGCGGTGAGATCAAAACTATAATAAGCAACAGAACCATTAACATTTTCAATGCACTAGTTAACCAAACAGACAAAAATGTAGCACCATAATTTTAGTTTTCTAGGGCCTTGGAACTCAGAAAGTTTCATTGTTTTATTATTTTAGTAATTCATGCAACAGGATAGAATCATAGAATTGTTTGGTTGGAAGAGACTGTTCAAGACTGTCTAGTCCATGTCCCCTGCCATGACCATGGACATCTTCAATTACTGCAGGTTGTGCAGAGCCCTGTCCAGAGCAGGTGCAGAGCAGCTTGTCCAGAGCCCTGACCTTGAATGTGTCCAGGGATGAGGTAACTACCATCTCTCTACATTCCAAGTGTAAATTCTTTAAAGGATGTAAATTTTTTAAAGGACATAAATTCAGAGGGAAAAAACTAGGACTTAAATTCCATAAATCATTTATTTAATGGAAATGGATAATGCAAATAAAACTAAATTTGAGTCAAAATCTAATGAAACTGAAGTAAAGACTATGATACATAAAAATATATATCAATATAAAACTGTGTTCACTAAAATGCAAATGTAGGAACTCAAAAAAACTCAGAATTAAGATAAAAACTTGCAATCATAATCCTCAGTATAAATATGGGAAAGGTAAAATTTATGCCCACATACGGTAAGAATGATTTGTTAGACAAAGAGAATGAAAGGGTGAGAGAAAAACCTCATTTTCTGCCACACAAGCTCTTCTTCCAGGTGTAGATGTCCTTGTGCTTCTCTGTCTTGCAAGTAGAAAAGAATTTCTGAACCACTGGGTCCGAAACAACATCAACATTATTATCACTCAATTGTCAGTTTCCGTTTGAAACATGTTATAAAGCTTGACTGTAATTCTCTGAAGGAGGTTGCTTCCACATTTCAGTCTTCTGATGGACAGATGTCTTCTTTTTAATAAGTAGTGAAAATTCATTCACAATCAGTCCATATCTGCAATTATGCTAAGCAGCTGGTCAGTGTTTACAAATTCTCCTTTTATCCTTATTTTTCTTATGATTATCTCTCATTTACTTACATGGTGTTTTTTGTGCATGTTACTATACAAGCCATCTTTGAAGAATTTGGTTTGGATAATGGTAGCAATCTGGCTAAAAGGGTAAACAGTCTGCACAGGTTATTTTAATGTGCCCACACAGAACACTAGTGGTACTTTGCTTCTGGCATGAGAGATAGCTTATTTTGAGATGAGCTCTGTAGCTCCTCTGAAGTATTGTGCCATAGACATATGCTATTACTAAATCCAGCATAGAGGCTTAAAATTGCTAACTTAAAATTTCAAGCAACGTTCACATTTTTTTTACATTTCTCTTCACCTCTCATAAGCCTAGGGATCATCCCAGCTTTATAATAAGTATTTACAATGCTTACAGTTTTCATCCTAGGAAATTGTGGTTCTCTTAACAGAATGAAGCCGCGTCAGGGGAATTTCAGACTGAACCTTAGGACAAAAGTTCTTCACTACAGGATGGTTGATCACTGGAACAGACTCCCCGGGGAAATGGTCATTGCATTGAGCCTGTCAGAGTTCAAGGAATGTCTGGATGTTTTAGACATGTGGTTTAGCCTTAGGTACTACTGAGATGAGCAGGGAGTTGGATTAGATGATCCTCATGGGTCCCTTCCAACTTGAAATATTCTATGATTCTATGATTCTTTCCTTTAGGTATTTCATGGAAAAGTGTGCAGAATAGAGATTAAGAGAAGGAACTGTGTTTTTTACATCTAATTTTCTCTGTAACTGTAGAACATTACATTTGCAAACATATAATTTCTGAAATTAGAAAGTGTAAGGGTTAAGATTGTTTACAGTTAAGATTATTCAGTTCTTTCACCCACACCTATGAATTATGAAAGATAGAAGAAGAAGGTAAAACAAATATTATTTTCAGATCAGCTATTGTTATTTGGGTAAAAGACAGCCACATTTAAGATACAGAAGCTTTTGGCAGTCTTTAGTTGTCAGCATAATCAGGTACTATTTTTCCCAGAGTATGCCTGTCTCAATATTCAAAATAGTTTTCATTTAGGAACCATTAATTTATACCGCATTTTACCCATATCATTTAACGGGTCACCACATGATCTATTTACTTGCCCAAATTTTTCTTTGCAGCACTCACATGAACAGATTCCCCATGAACAGACCATGACAGAGGGAGAGAATTCATTTCTCCACACCAACAATCCCATGTCTAGGACCACAACAATCCTCTCTATTGCTACAATAGCCTCCTTCAATAACTACCTACTTTCCAGTTTCTGCAAGAAGAAAAGCAAAGGTCTGCCAGCTACCAACACTGTGTAACTCTGATTTATTCCCAGCATATAATTAAAACTTGTGTTATAAACCAGAGCAGAAGGGGACAAAAGCAGAATGGTAGAAGATAAAATGTCAAATGAACGGTGCTCAGTCCTCCAGCATTACAGCAACAAAGTCTCTATGTAATACTTCTTAACAGTTTAACTCCCATGTTTTTCCTTTGAATAAAAAGAGAATGTTAAATCAGAGAGTGTTTCAGCCTCTTTTTATTCAGAAATTGGTTTTAAAGTGCCTCTTATCATCTCTCTTTCACATTGAATCCAGACCTCTTTACTGTTCTGTTATCAAACTATCTTCTCTGAAGTTAAAACCTACGTTCCCTCTTCACTGACTCATGCAGAAATATAATATTGGTAAAAAGACACAGAGGCTGCCTTTCAATTACTAAGCCAGAGATGAAACTGTCTTCTCCAAAGGCTTCAGCATGACTCCTCTTACACTGAAGCTGATAGAAATGCAGAGAAGTTCTTTTCTTCTTCTCTTGTGTGAGGGAGAAATTGTTAACTACAAAATGCAGATTGAGAGGATGGTTGTAAGTGTGCCTTTGAGCTTGTTATGCACAAAGATTACTGCATAGTAAAAATCTTCCATTGTATCTCTATCTCAGAAACAAGGAAACTAGTTACTCAGAAAGAGCCTGAAAATTAGGATGTTGTTGAGGTCAGTGTCCCAGAATATCTAAACAAGAGAACATTTGGGGAAGAAGAGATACTGCAAATAGGGAAACTGAGCGTTTTCAATATAATATGTTAATTATAATTAATGAACGTTTATTTAAAGGGATGGGTTAGGAGGTGCTTGACCTTTACACCAGTGTGCTTGTATGTCCCCCTGCAATAATAATACCAAAATCTCCTAACCCGAGAGACCAAACCTGTGAGGAAGCAGGCTGGCTGAGGCTTTTCATGCCCTCAAGGGTATGAAGATCATGACCATTCAAGATCAAAAGTCATTGTGGTTAATGTGGGTGGGCCTCTCTCTACAGCGCATCGTGAGCCATTTGCAGATGTTAAGTACATCACTGGAGGAAATCTCTCCTGCAATTTTGTTTCTCTTAAAACATACTAATGAAACACAAACCTGTGTTTTCTGCTCTTCTTGTTGGGTTCTTAATCTGAGAGTTCATTCATCACAGAGAGGCATAAATTCAACTCCAGGCCACCCACCTTTTTATTATAAGAGTAACTGTACCATGGTAAGCTTCTCCACATTCATGGGCCATTTTCTGGACTTCTGCCCCTCGAATTTATTTACATCCTCTTCCTCTAGGTGCACCCACAACAGCTGCTACCACTGAAATACCTGTTACAATTTCTGTTTCACAAGTTAAACACAAAGGGCCATATGCATACCACCAATCATTGCTATAACATTAAACATTCTGGAAAAGGGGTTCTGGAATTTCTAGAGAACTTGGAATGGAAGTTTCTCACATCCCATGAATTTTGTCCACTGCAGTTGATATGATTTTTTGGGGGAAGAGAAGAAGGCATGTTCCAGGTGGATCTTATTCTGGTGATAATCCCAGCACAAATAATACCAGTGGTATTACGGCTCTTCCCCCTCTAGCATCACACCCTATAGGATGGAATCTGACCCAGCATTCTTATTTCCTCACCCATATCTCTCCTAGGACACACTGATCTTGCTATGCCCTTGTAATTTTCTTAGGTCAGAGAGGATCAATGCCATTTGGAGAGAAGGGAAGAGAAAGCACAGACTTTCCACCCCCTTCCCATTGCTCAAGCATAGAGATCCTATAGCAATAACATCCAGCATGGTGACAGAGATTGGTGTAATGGAGAAAGACATTAAAAGAGGGTAACAGCAGCAACACCCAATAATTTTTGTACCATTTGGCATCATTCACTTTTAGAATGATGCCAATTCACTTTTACAGTCTTCATGTGAGTAATGGAAATTTTAATACTTATAGCCTTCCAAAATATTTTTAAAGTTTTGTTACACATCCAGAAATTAAAAAGCACAACGGCACACTTACACTTTTAATTTCTTACCAGAAAGAAACTAAAACAGCAGCTACAATAGTCATACTGGAGCTATAATCCTCAATTATTGAAAATAGAGTTTGTGATTTGACTCATATGTGCTGGCTTCATGGTAGTTACATATATGTGAGGTGTCTTTACCATTGCCTTTGTATTAAACCAAACACACATGCTGAAAATCTTACCAAACAATTAGCCCTCTTGAGGAATCTGTGAAATTCAAAGCATTAAAGACTCTCCCATCTTCTTTCCAGTGCTTCTTAACTTTTTATCTGAGTATGCCCAGTAACCACAGGAAAACAGCACAGAAAAAGTGTTGTAGCAGCCAGAAAGTAGGCCTGATGAAAAACAATTAACTCACCTCTATCAACAGCTGTCTGTAGTCTGACTTAGTTGATGTGGTACTATGCTTACCTGGAAGGATGGGTTGACCCTGCTGTAAAACAGGAAGCTCCACAGGTATCTTCCCATCAGACTGGTCCTGGGCCAGCCATCGATGTGCAGGGAAAGAAAACTGCTCCCCTGAGGAAAGGTTCAGCAACTGCACCTAAGTAGCACAAAAAAATTCCAATTTAACTTGCTGATCTGACACCAGATGGTACAGAACAGAAACGAGTGGGATGCTGTTGAAATCTGTGCAGGTAGAGCTCTGTGTATGATAAAAAAATCAGTCTGACTTTTCACTCAGTAAGATTTGAAAGCACAGGGCAGAGTAACTCAAGTTACTCTGTGCAATTAAGAAACAGGGTTTATCAGCTCAGGTTCACTCCCACAAAATACAGCTGTTGTTCCAGCTGGTACATCCACGTGGGCTGGCACTAGGTGGCATGGCTTACCAAAGACGGAACTTCTCAAAGTTTGGCAATGCTTGCAGCTCTATTTCTTATTTTCTTATCAGAACAGGAATTAAGGGAACAGGTTTTGATTCTTCAGCACTGCTTGTGACATAAACAAACCATGAAAGTGCTAGCCCCAACACCAGTCGAGGCCTGCACAGTGCCCTACAAAATTTTCTTTCATGTCCAACTTCTAGCATGCAGCAGCAAAAGGACCATATGCATACCAGCTGAAGGAGGGAAGGAGGTTATTTTGTACATCAAAGTAAACACTTCGGAGGCTGCTGTATATTATAATAGTCCCTACTTGTAGTTTCACTCTGTGCTTTGCAGAATCTAATCTCCTTAATTTGAACACTGAAGAAACCCAGAATTACTGGAAACATTTTTCTCTCTTTTGCTTCTTGAATATTAAAATTTTAAGACAGAGATTCATCTTGTCTGGAAAACTTGACACATCTTGGCCTGCCAGCATCTACTGATGAAACTTGAAAAGGGATTTCAGATTAGCAAAGCAGCACCTTCGTGGACATTTTCTGGCCTGAGATCACCTCAGTACAGTAACAGACACAGGAACCACAGAACATTGAGGGAGGTCTAGTGCACCTAACTACCAGAAAAGCTCTGCAGTTGCAGATCACTCTCTTTTAATTGCAGTTCTTCTTGAAAAGAAAAAAAAAAAAGTAGATTTCCCAAGAAACAATGATGTTAAATGTCTGTAGGTTGTTTCTATTCTAAGAAGTGTAGAAATCAATGGCTGTACTCCTTTGGCTCTCTGCTACACAAAGTAACCTGCTACAGGTTACTTGTATGGTCTGCTCAGCTGAATGCACTTCTTTTCCTTGACCTTCTGCCCAAAGTTGCAAAGAGGGAATGATCTGGCTGATGAATCATGTCCTAAAAACTGTGCCTGATTGACTGAGTTTCCATAAGGAGACAACTAAAATTTATAAGCTAATAACTAATGGAACACACTGAAGTGTTGATTTTTTTATTTTTAATTTTATTGTTCATTTCATTTAATATACCCCAGGTGGAAAGAAGGAGAATAATAAGTTCTCATTTTTCATTTTCCTTTTGTTTTTTCAGACTTCCTCAGTTTCCCAGTTTAAATGTCCGTCTTATACAAAGCAGGCAGCGCAGCCTCTATTAACAGATGGTGACATACAACAAACCTGCAAAGGTTTATTTGTTGAGTCAGATTTTACAATAACGAAAACTTCTAATACAAAGATTATGTATACAAATGAACCTTTTCCATAAGAGAAAACCCACTGTTCTTTTCTAGTTTCTTAACTCAGATGGACTGTAGAAATTGCAGGTAACCTCTCCCATTGTCTCATGGAACAAAGCTATGAGGTATTTTTCACCCTTTTACTGCTTCCACACACATATTTATGAAAAAAAAATAGCTTGAAACAGAAGAAAAAAGTATCTTAAATGATATTCTGGCTACATCATTCTGCTTTTCCAAGAAAAACAAATACCTATGTTTTCTAATCAGGCAATCCTCACCTGAATTGAAAGAGATATAATCCCCAGAATTCTATCATGAAAGCTCTTAGAGGGATACTACCAGTGACACGATATTTCAGAATAGACAGCCACTGGCTAGAGGTATGAACTCACAGCCTGATGTTACCTTCAGTTAACATCGTCCAGATCTTAGTCTTCTTTCTGAGATGCAGTCTCAGATAAAAACAAGCATCAAATAGCCAGAGAGTTTGAGCACCGATCAATGAATATTTTACTCCAGTGGACACTTTACATTACATAGATATACATATAACTTGAAATATAATTTTAACATTGAGTTTACCAGCTGTTTCTAAAGCTCTTCATAAACTGCTGCCTCTTAACTGAAAGATAAGAAACTCTTGGCATAGAATTGGCATACATAGTACATCATGGACTCTAAGGATAAAAGTCACCTACTTTAATTTCCAGTCCGAAAACATATATTATGCTTCACTACTGAGGCTTGAAACAGAACTAGCTGATTCTCTTTGCTTTATTATATTTGCTATACCTGCATCAAGGTATAATTTCTGCATAAGGAAAGAGAAGAACCTGTTATTGTCTTTTTGTCCTCAGAGACGCAGAATTAGAAACATTTGCAATGTAGCTCTGAGGTATTTATGCTGTGCATAAGGACACAGCATCAGCCATGGGTTTGGAGATGACTTAGCCAGACTGGATTCAATGACTTTCTGGGTTTCAACAAACTCTAGGCACTCTGTAGCACAGAAAGACTGTAGAAACTGCAGCTAACTTAAGCAGTATTCCTTGCTGCCCAGCCACACATTTTTAAAGAAACGTAATGTACAGCTGTCACTAAATTGTAAACAGCCACCCAATACATATCATCATAAGCTGCCTTTAGTTCCACACAAAAACACTCCTTCATAAATAATCCCTTAAATGAAGGTGCAAGCATTTGATGATGCTAATATACTTATCCCAGGGATTTTTTCTTACTCATGTTTTGACTCCACTGTCCTAGTGACTGCCTTTGGAAAGATAAACTTCTTTCTCACTGCTTTTACCTCTTCACAGTGCCAGGCAGGGGAATTTCCTGCATTTGTATGTCCTATGCGTATTTTGTAGAGATCTCCTATATTTCTAGTATTAATCTGTAAAAGAAATACAACTAATGAAACACAAAACATTTTTCAAACAGAAAAGACATGCAACAGAAATTCACTTAGTAACTGAGACTTTTGTTTGGAGGAATTAAATATTCTGATATTTAAACAAGTGCTTCCAAACTATTTTGCTTCAAAAAATCATTAGAACCTTGAGCCTTCTAAAGGACAACCCTCAAAAAACCCATTGGCCTGACAATTCCATTTAAATGAATGCTACTGTAGCTGTTCCCCACTGAATATTAGCCTCAGTGGGAGATGAATATACTCTGTATGTATGACTAAAAAGCAGAACTGTCTTGACCCTAAAACCTGGCTCAGTTTAGCATTTATACCACTGACCTTCTACAAAATAATTTTTGCCACCCACCTATCTCTGAATTTTTCCCTACCCCTCCAGGAGTGTATACCTTACAATTTGGAAACAATTGTGTTCAGCTTTGATATTTCCTTTTACAAATCATTTCAATCAAACCAACTTTAAAAGCTGTATTTGAAAGACTAGCTCTAGGGCAGGCAGGATGAGTGTGTCCAGTGCAGATAGCAGGGTGCTGAGGGAATAATTTTGTGTGAAGGTTATTAAACTACTAGTATAAACCTAAGTGTAGAAATAGAAAGCTTATCTTCAAGGAACTGGAAGCACGCCATGAGTGTCTTCCCTCCTCACTGTATAATTTATTTCATTATAATGTAGGCTTGATTTTCTGTCCTTCTGTTGTTTTCTGTACAACTCATTTTCATGTTTTCATTGACAGTGTATAGATGGGTGTGAACTGAGTTCCCTGTATCATGTACTTCCCTGAACTCAGTGTTATAAACAGTAAAGAGACAGAGCAGGGAGGACAGACCACAGCTGAGATCTAGTATACAGCGCACTCGGAGAGACTTTTCTCTTTCTATACATTTCAGAGTAGGCTCTCTTTAACTGTGTTCAGTGCTATGCATACTTGCCTGAGAGGGGAATCCTAAATCCCAAACAATATGACTGCCTACATATTTTGCATTTAAAAGTCATTGGAGGTAAAATTAATTGCAATAATTACAACAGTAAAGAGCCAACGATATCTGTTGTGAAGAGGGTCTTTTTATCTGTCAGAGAACTGGTTACTTGTTTTGTCTACTTCTTTCAACCTGGGATTTTTTGATATCACAGATGGACAATGACATACTTTATCAGGAGTGCTTCTTCTGAGGAACTCCATCAGGCTGAAGAGGGTAAAGAATTGCATTTTCTGCATCCCAAACATCCATGAGGCTATTGTGGAAAAGGTGAGCTCTTAATCAATGCTGCCATTAAACACCTTTTCTCAGAGAGGGGATTTGCTATGCTGGATACTAATAATGGAAGCAATTGTTTGTCATATGGCCCCATAGTGGACACCTGCCAGAGACAATCCCTGACGATTCCATATATACACTCAAGCTATGCAGATTGTGATGAGGGACCTATTCTGGATCACTTAAATCACTATGCCACAAGACTGATGAGGAAGGAATTTGTTTGTGGCACTGGGGGCAGAAGCAGCTGCAGATAGTAGATTTATTACAGGTATAAAATTTGGTATTACTTCAATAAAGCAGCAGGTATTTAACAAAATTAAAAATTTGCTCCAAATCCTAATTCTTCAATTCCTTATTTAATTTTTAATATTGTAGCCCTGTTTCAAATTTCTAAACTAAACAATTATCTGTTGTGTTATATTTCTTGGTATTTTTTTGGGGCACTATGTAAATTAAACAGTAGTTCTTCTTAAACAGATAATAAATATGTTGGATCAAATCAGATTTGGATGAGTGAGTGAGAAAGGATACTAAATTTAGCTCTACATTTAAGTCCCATTTACCTTTTCTAGATATGTGTACCATGCAAAAAGCTGTCTTTTCATCACATAGATTTTGAAATGTCATATGATCTGGCAGAATGCAAGAGGGCAATACAACGAATATATATTACTTACTGTGAAGATGTCTTCATTGCCTCTCTGAAATAATTTTCCCTTGTCTCCATCAAGAAAAATAGGACCTGAACTGCCTTGATCCCCATACAATGTAATATAAACCTTTGAACTTGTTCCTGCAGATGGCATATCACTGGTGAGGACTGACACATTCCATTTCCTAGCTACCAAAAGATAAAAAAGATTCGCTGAATTACTTAAACTCAAGATTCTCAAACAAAATGCATTTCAGTAATCAAAATTCTAAATAATATCATGCCAATGAATACAGAAATATGTGTTTCACAAAATTACACCAGGCAAATATTGTTTGCTGTGCTGGGCACGTCAAGAAATGTCAGGTTGCATTCACATCTTTTACTCCATGTGTCCTATATGACTATGTCAGATTTGCATGATTGTAGATCACTTTTCAAACGCAGTTTTGAAATTTTTTATTAAATTGTATTAAATATGGCTTTCTGTTTACTTAGGATCTATCACCTCTTCTCAGTGCAGTGCTGTGTAATGACAGCCTTGACACTACTCACATCAAACATTAGGGTCTCAAAGCAAATTAGCTCTGCTAAAAAAGACCTCCAAGAAAGGGTCTGTATCTCTGCAAAGGTGTGATTGGCTGCGTAGATGTAACAACTTGTTTGGAATCCACTGAAGTTTACCAGCACACGAAGGACGTTGATCTGTTGGAGCAAGTCCAGAGGGGGGCCAGCAAGCTGATTAGAGGGATGGAGCACCTCTCCTATGAGGAAAGGCTTATAGAATCAAGTTTGTTCAGCCTGGAAAAGTGAAGGCTTCAAGGTGACCTAATTGTGGCTCTTTAGTACCTGCAGGGAGCCTACGAGCAAGATGGAGAAAGAATATTTACAAGAGCATGTAGTGACAGGACAAGGGGTAATGGTTTCATACTGAAAGAGGGCATGTTTAGAAAATATATTAGGGAAAAATTGTTCACTATGAGGGTAGTGAGGCACCAGAACAGGTTGCCCAGAGAAGCTGTGGATGCTCTGTCCCTGGAAGAGTTTAAGACCAGGTTGGATGGAGTTCTGAATAACCTGTTCTAGTGAAAGACATTCCTGCCTATGGCCTGGGGGTTGGAACTAGCTGGTCTTTAAGGCCCCTTCCAACCCAAACCATTCACCCTGTGGAAGCTGCGTATTAATTGGATGGAATTAAGGCAAATGGTATCACTGAGGGACACTTTTATCAACAAGTTAAACTTGGTCATTACAGGAATTGTTGTAGCTTGAACACATTAAACTGAAAAAATAAGTATAAGCATAAGTATAAAATATAAGTAAGCATACGTATAGGTAAACATAAGTATAAAACATTTAAGTTACTCTAGGTGGGTGTACCTAACCTCTTGTCTTAATTTAGTTCATTAAGGTATGCTGGTTTTTGGTGGGGTACACTTAAATGTCTTTATAGTAGCTAGTATGGGGCTAGGTTTTGGATTTATTCTGAAAACCAGGGTTATTCTGAAAAAAAGGGTTAATAATACAGGATGGTTTTGGTATTGCTGAGCAGCACTTGCACAGCATCAAGGCTTTTTGTTGTTCTCGTACTGCCCTGCCAGCAAGGAGGCTAGGAGCTTCAAGGGGACACAGCTGGGACAGCCCCCCCCAATTGACTAAATGGATATTCCATACCATATGGCATCACACTCAGCATATAGAGCTGGAAGAAGAAGAAAGAGGAAGGGGGGATGTTTGGAGTGGTGGCGTTTGTCTTCCCAAGTCACTGCTATGCCTGATGAAGCCTGACTTTCCTGGTGATCGCTGAACACCTGCCTGCCCATGGGAAGTCATGATTTAATTCCTTGTTTTGCTTTGCCTGTGTGTGTGACTTTTGCTTTCCCTATTAAATTGTCTTTATCTCAACCCATGAATTTTCTCAGTTTTACTCTTCCAGTTCTCTCCCCCATCCCACTGGTGGGGGGAAGTAAGCAAGTGGCTGAGTGGGTCTTAGTTGCCAGCTGGGGTTCAATCCATGACATAAGGTAAGAAAATTGCGTTAAATATTCCTCATAATTCTTACTGTGGATTAACATGGTGATTAGACTAATGATATTTGATATCACTAGGGCTATAAAAGACAAGTTCCTTGTTTAATAGAGATACATTAAACAATTAAACAGTCTTCCTTTCCTCTGACATCCTTCCAAGTAAGAAAAATATGTCTTATGCATTTCAGAAATTACAACCATGATGATTAGAGGAAATGGATAAAATATTTATGTAGGACAAAAAGCTAAGAGAATGTCTGATTTTGTTGACAGATATCAAGGAGGAAAAGGCATATCTAAGTATGGCTTTCAATAATGACTTTGGGATATGTATACATAAATTAACTAGGCTGAGGATGTATAGGGATAGGTATAATTTCAGAAGAATTTGTGGTGGAAAACTAGAACTCGATTTCACTCAGAAAGACTGTAAAATGCCTTCTCAAATGGGTTAGATATTTTTTTTCTTCCTTCTGCATTTCAGAGAAAGTTGCACGGAGAAGCTGTGAGCAAGCTCTCTCTGTCCCTGGTATGCACAGAGATAACATGTTTGCAGACATGTACAAGGCCTCCTCGGGCCAGAGAGGGTGGGGAAGGAGAGAGAGAAGATACAAAAAGCCTTGGAGAAGGAGAGGTATTGCCTTTTTCGGCTGGAGTCCTTGCATCTGAAATAAACCTTTTTTTATTAATTCCACTGCCTTGCAATTCTTGGCAAGAATACCTGCGTGTCTTTTACCCTACAGGATGGAAACTAGAAAACAGTTAAGACAGATATCAAAAAAAGGATTCAAGCTCTAGAACATCCCTCTAGTGGAACCTGTAGTGACTATAGAGAAAAAGTTTTAAAATGAGACTTTGTAATTATATGTATTTACTTACCTAATTGTGTGATTTCTTCCTAGCAAGGCGCTAAACTATAACTGAAACTTCCTGGGACTGTGATCTATGTTATGTTGGCTGGGTTTTTTTTAACAATGGCAAGACAAAAACTGAATTTCTTCTCAAAGAATGGCATACTCTATATAAGTCCCTCAGTCAGTATAACAATCTTTTCACTGCTTGCTGTGGTCTGGTAATTGTAACCTCAGGGAGTACCTCACATCTCACCTTTTGAGTGCTTAGTTTGCTCAGTAACTCTCAGTAACTCAGTAATAAGCATCTGATTAAAGGTTCTTAAATCTTGATCTGATAAAGTTAAGGTGCCGTGAATGCAGTACAGGGTACTGTGAATCAGAAAGACTGTGAGTGATGGAGACATACCTGTTAATTTGTCTGTCTACACATTTAGATATTATTTACAGCATAGAAACTTGGTACTCAGAATGCTATATGACATTCAGTTGGATTCTAGTAATTTTGAGATTCATTTTCCAAACATATATTTTATTTCTGTATCAACATGTAAAAGGATAAAAAATAGCATTGAGATTCTTCACTTGGAGCAGGAGGATGCCAAAAAAATTGGAGATGAACAGAAGAACATCAGAACCAAGGCCAGCATACAGAATAACACACAGCTATTTGGTATGAAATGTATTAGACAATGTATCTTGCTTTAGGGTTGCAACATCAGTTTATTACATGGAATACACTGCTTCAAACAGCAGAAACATAACAGTTTTTTATGGGGAAGTATATGGGCCATTGGACTCCTAAAAAGAACTCCTAAAAAGAATGCTTCTAGGTTTCCTACCTGTACTGCAAACACCTTTTGCTTCAATTCCAACTTCTTTCCTCCACGTGCTTTCTGTCCCACATGGAGACAGTCCAAAGCCTCTGGGCCAAAGGAATTTGCATCAGCCTTTTATTAGGTCCCCAATCTGGATAATCAAAGGATCATGACCCACGGCTTATCACAGCATGTATGTGCCAGTTATTCTAGACACAGCCTCCAAGAGTACAGAATGGCCAAATTCTCATCGTCTAGCTGAAAAGTAACACTTTTCTTCAGGTACATCTCTGACTTCATTGACATTGAAGCAAGGTACCATGCAGTATTAGGAATTAAAATCTAACTGAAAAACTGAAACATTCTGCCTAATCACAATATACATTTAATATTTTCCAATTTTATATTTAAAGTCATTTACTGAAAATTGTAAACCATATATGAGTGCTTACGATGCACATGTAATGTTAAAAAAATTCTGTAAACAGGTATCCAAAATAATTCTAATAACAGATGGAAAGATCCTGGAACATATTGCATATACCCTGATTCTCACAATACAACATATTTACAAACAAAACAAAACAAAACAAAAGCTAAAAACACATGGACTGTGTTTAAAGTACAGAGGTTACAGACGAATGCACAACTAAAACTTGTAATGTATTTAGAACAATTTTAAGTAAGTGGTGCTGCCTCAGAAGGAAATATGGCAAGAGGAGCCAGGAAGTCCATTGACAAACAGTCTCTCTTCTCAGTTCCTAAATACGCCCCTTTTCTAGTGCCCTCTGGGTAAAAGAGGCAAATTTCATTTGGTGTCTGGATGATCCTAGACACAGACTGAAAAATTTCTTTACTCCCATAATTATTCTGCAGTTGGCCCTTAAAAACTCAAATAGCAATTTAATAATGTACATCTATGTAAAATTAACATGACTTCTGTTTCCTACTTGCTATTGTATTACAGCATTTGAATAGTATTTCCTACTTTTCATTTGAAATTAAACATATCAGTTGATTTCTTCCAGGGAAAGCATTTCTACTGAAAGACAATTTTCAAACTCCTTCTCAAATATCATGAAATATAGAAATCTTATCTTAAAAGTCAGGTAGGTAGGTATTTCAAATCACAGTCCTCTGTTCTAACAAGCAGTAGTTATTTCTCTAAAATTAGATTATTAGTATGTAACTATCTCTTAACATGTAATATTTCAGAGGAAAACTGTCTATTAACCAAGAAATCATTGTCTTAGAACAGCTTTTCTTCTTATGTTGGTTCCCATAAAATTTTAAGTAATATTTGTATTTCAGCAATGATATACAATTGTGATTTATATTTATCTAGGGATTCATATTGGGAGTCTTATTGGGTGTGGCATTCAGCAGTTTATTATGTGATTTTTTTTCTGAAGATGCTTTCACTAATCTAATGTTATAGAAATTCCAAGATCTTCATTACAAGTCTTTCTCATCTTTACTGTTTCCA